CTGGGGCAGCAGCAGCAGCAGCCGGAGCTGGAATAGGAGCCGCGGCGACAGGCGGTGCTGCGTAGCCTCCAACAGGACCAGGGGCGACAGGGGGGGTGGCTATGGCGCCGGGATACGCTCCGTACGGAGGACCGCCCATAGGGTTGGGAACAACAGGAGTACCCATAGGAGGAGCAGCAGCAGCGGCCGGGTTGTCGAGAACCGAGTTGATGGCGTCCGGCGAGACCAGGCCCATGATAAGGAGCGCTTGGAATATCGCGTAGCTCAGCTGGGGTGCTTGGTTGAGAAGTTCCGTGGCCCTAGCAGGATCGTTCGTCGCCAGCGTCTTCATCTGCTGGAGGATGTCGAGAAGCTGAGCCGGGGGAAGGGTGTTGAGGGTGCGGGAGATCGCGTCGGTGCAGGTGACATCGGGGGGAAGGTCTTTGCCCTGGGGCAAGGGTCCGAGAGCAGGAGGGGCGGCGCTGGCGGGGGGAGCGGTATTGTAGCCTCCCCCATTGGGAGGTTGAGCGTTGTAGCTACCGGAGGCGTTCTGATTCGACTAGGTAGGCCGTCATGGTCAGTGGATTGTGTGTGAAAGCAAGATGAGTTGAGTTGGGTTATGCCATACCCCGCCATCACGATCTCTGCCACCGTCTTCGTCGCTGACAGTCTCGTTGCTAAAATCGACACGCAGCTTGCGACCCATGATCTCGTGATCGTTCAGGTTTCGTACAGCTGATGCAGCGGAATCTGGAGATCGGCGAAAGCTGATTAGCGTGTGCGCGGGAGAGGGATACTTGATTCAAAGATGGATACGCACCGTAGTCGGGAAATTCTGCGAACCCAAAACCCTTTGGCCTTCCAGTTTCACGGTCATAGACAAGGCGGAAGTTGAGGACCCGTCCAGCGCCGCTAAAGATTTCGGTTATCTGCTCTTCGGTAAGGCCTGCGTTTTCCCTGTCAGTGGGTGGGCTTTTATAGATGGTCGTCGTCTGACCTGGACAGAAGCGGGTTGTCTGCGTACCATAAGGGATGTTTCCCACGAAGACCACACGTGAAGGTTGGCGTGTCGACATGGTGATGCGCGCGTTCACTGTCGAGCAAAATGTTGTACGAAGCGCAAAGTGTCTAGCAGTAGCGCTGCTGAGAGTGGAGAGGCACAATCCTGAGTGAGTTTGACTGCGAGCTGTGTGGGCTGATCGAATGGGAATCACCAAGCGAACCAAATGTTGGACAGGTGGGATGGGCAACCAAGAATTGGTATGAATCGATGCGAACAATAGGGACCGCGCAGGAACAGCGAACTTTGGCAAATGGATGAGATGGAAGTTAACACAGTCGTAGTTAGACTACCTGGTGGCAATTGGGTCCTCTTTAGCCTTTTCTCTTCAATTTCAAAGCCCAAGCCTGCTGCCAGATACCGTCGATTTGTAAGATGGGGGTTGGTCGAGGTGGGAATACTCTGACAACGAGGAGATGTTCTGGGAATGGAGTCAACCTTTTGGTGGTTGCAAATGGAAGTTTGGAGTTCTGGATTTGCACACGTCAAAAATTGGACTCTCTGTCGCTGTGTCGCTTCGACGATGGAATGCAGGGGCTATGTACGTCGCGGGGGTGGATACGGTACCTCTACTTGTCTCCGAGCTCCGATCCATCAAGGTCCTGCTCCCGTCGCGACAAGCTGTAGCGACCCACGTGAGCGTATGGTCTGTGCTTGACCAAAGTGAGACAGGCGGTACCTAGAAGTCCAGTTGCGCCAGTAGGGTGGTAGGCAGATGGCAAGTGGACTTTAGTGATGTGCCTCGCTTGTGGTCCTGCCTGTGGGTGGTCTTAGCTCCAACGCTGGAAAAGCTCGGGCAAGCTATCGTGACGACTTCAATCCCCATTTCCCCACCACATCCGTCAACCAACCTAGGGCTCCTACTCCAAACCATCTTTGGGCCGCCCATTACTTCACAGCAGCCCAGCATGTCGAACAACCCATATCAGGATCTCCTGAACAAGATTCAGCAGACTGCCCGGTCTCGCGGCGGCGGCGGTTTCCCAGGTGGCAGGCCCCCCATCCCTCCCCGCGGTTTGGGCCCTGCCTTGACCGGTTTCGCCCTTCTTGGTGGTGGTGCTTGGGTTCTTTCAAACTCCCTGTTCAACGTTGATGGTGGTCACAGAGCGATCAAGTACAGGAGAGTTAATGGTGTTAGCAAGGAGATCTATGGCGAAGGTTCGTCTGCTTTCGCCGCTCGGTCTCAGTCTCGCTAGCCTTAATCGTTTTTCTGACAAGTTGAATAGGAACCCATCTCATGATCCCCTGGTTCGAGACCCCCATTACCTACGATGTCCGCGCGAAGCCCAGAAACGTGTCCTCCTTGACCGGCACCAAGGATTTGCAAATGGTCAACATTACCTGCCGTGTCCTTTCAAGACCTGAAGTCACGGCCTTGCCTCAGATTTACCGTACCCTCGGTACCGATTACGACGAGCGGGTCCTTCCTTCAATCGTCAACGAGGTTCTCAAGAGCGTTGTCGCGCAATTCAACGCCAGTCAATTGATCACCCAAAGAGAGATGGTTGCCAAGCTTGTGCGTGAGAACCTGGCAAAGCGTGCGGCCCGGTTCAACATCCTCCTGGACGATGTGTCGCTTACAGTACGATTCCTCCACCCGTTCTTTTGCGTCGTAGATATCTTTGGCTAACCATACCCCAGCACCTCGCATTCTCCCCCGAATTCACTGCGGCAGTAGAGGCCAAGCAGGTCGCACAGCAAGAAGCGCAGCGCGCAGCTTTTATTGTTGACAAGGCGCGTCAAGAGAAGCAGGCTATGGTGGTCAAGGCTCAGGGTGAGGCCCGTTCTGCGGAGCTCATCGGTGAGGCCATCAAGAAGAGCAAGTCGTATGTGGAATTGAAGAAGCTGGAGAATGCGCGTGCAATTGCGAACATCATCCAGGAGGCCGGCGGCAAGAACAGGCTGCTCCTTGATTCTGAGGGCCTGGGCCTCAACGTTTTCGAAGATCGGAGGTCCAAAGACAACTAAGCCGAGGCCGTTGGAAGTTAGAGGAGGAGCATGAGATGACGGATAAAAATCTCCGCTGTATATGTATCTTACGGATGTGACGGAAACCCCAAGTGTACAACAGACTTTAATGAACTATCGGAAAGGCCGGATTTAGCGATGATCTTCAGAAAAGGAAGCTTTCGCAAAAAAGATGTCCATCGAAAAGCTCGTCTGCAAATGGCCCTGTTTAGGTGCGAGGCATCCTCTCTATTAGTGATACAAAGCGGTTATTCAACCTAGCGTGAAGGACGCCTCGTGGTGGATCAATGAAAGATGTTGATACAAAATCACTTGAGTTGCAGCTCGGAACATGTTTAGTCCAACAGCGTTCCCCTCGGACAAAAAGTGAATACTTCTAGGTGTGACCACCTCTACCGTAGGTAGCTTCAGCTCACAAGAAGACTCCAATATCTCAGTCCGCTACGGCCATGGATTCATCTTCCTGATGTGAGCCGGTTAACAAGGCCGCTATACGTCGGAGCACCTGTAATGTCAAAGCTACCGAAGCTGCCCCGGCAACCTGAAGGGGTATCCAAACAACAAAAGCCAGGGCAGCCCCGTCCACAGCGGTACCACCTACCTCATAGTACATGCGACCTCAGGCAGTCTCGTCCTACCGCCACGACGCTAACCGCGCCGGTAGTGCCTGCCCCACCACCCCTCCCCAGCCCGTCAACAGTGACCGTTTTCCCCGATGACCAACTCAACTTCTTGAACCGCTCCATTACCAACATCAACCATCCCGATGCAGTCAGCTTCTTGAGTCAACAGAAGCTTCGCACCCACGCGCATACAGAGACAACAAAACCCCGTCCCAACTCGAGCATTCAACCCCACTCATCCATCGCCCCAGCGAAGCGAACTCTTTCCCATCGAACCAGTCGCAAACTATTCAAGATGCAGATCAAGTGAGCTTTCGAACTTTCGCCTTTCCTCGTCCGATAGTCGCAGTATGCATATTGCGGCTGCATAGCTTGTTATCTGTGCTCCCTATGCATTTTGGACTCTATCCCCAGGCCAAGCCAGTACCACAGCTAACCATTCCTTTTACTTTGTTCGCACAGGGTCCGGACTCTTACAGGCAAGGAGATTGAGCTCGACATTGAGCCCGATACCAAGGTACGTCCCTCCCTTCTGTCAAAGAGGTCGGGTTTTGCGCCCGCGCGGGTAGAATCCGCGACCGGCTTAGCCGTGGAAACAGGAAGAAAAAAGAAAACAACAAAAAAAACCGGATCGATCCATCGATTATCACGTCCACGATGCCTCAACGATTTGCGCTCTCGATGATTATGATGGCTACGAGCTCATTCGAACATCCGACTGATTCAGGCAATACACACAGGTTGCCCACATCAAGGAGAAGGTCGAGGAAAAGGAGGGTATCCCTCCCGTACAGCAACGTTTGATCTTTGGCGGAAAGCAGATGTAAGTTCTGACCTAGCTTACATTAGATCCATCCTCTTGGCGTTGGTGTCTAACATGATAGCGAAACAAAACAGGGTCGATGACAAGACGGCAACCGATTACCAACTCGAAGGCGGTGCGACTCTCCATCTCGTTTTGGCTCTTAGAGGTGGAGGGTGGTAGGCTTTTGGGGAAGCTCCGGCTTGCTTCAACAGAAACAAAAATACGCATAAATTAATGAGATAACGACGTTTCCCCCCCAAAAAATCTATAGACTGGGCGCTATATGTTGATGCTTCGACAAACACATGTGGAGGTTCTAGTGTTTGAAGGACTACTTAGACGACGAAATCCCGGAAGGTTGAGGATAAGGCGCTCTTGGCGGGTGAAAAGGGTGGGATTTGTACACTCCATCGATCAAAGGTGAGATGCTGAGGAAATGGTTAACACTTGCTGTTGGAGAGCTTGCATGACCCAAGAAAGGGAAGGGTTTCTTCTCATCATCGAAATTTCAAGGCAGGTAATCAGGCCATACAACATTTATTCAGATCGGGTCAGAGGATATGAGTCCACCCAAACGTGTTTTATTGTCGCGCGGAAGAGCAAGTACCTCGCTTTTGTTCCATTTCTCCCACCCTAAATTTGGCTCAAGCCATTGCGCTCCGTAGTCATATTGCCCGAAAACAACGCCCCTGTTCCTGTCAAGATCTCAAACCACCGAAAACGCCATATATGTTGATCCCTAGATATGACATCAGAAACTTCCTCCACATTATATGCCCGTCCCTTATCTTTCGGTGTAAGCAGGTAATTTCCCATCTCAGTTCCAATAAGCATCTCCAACTCCATGACTCCCATAGATCCTTTATTCCCAATCATAACCCTGCTCGTTCAACTCCACCTCTAGGACCACACGAGGATCCTCAACTCCCAATCATCACACCCCTTCTCAAGTCTTCCTGCAGGACCACACGAGGATCCCCAGGTCCCGACTACAACCCTATCCTTTGAGATCCTCCCCTCAAACACGACGAACTTTCTTGGTAGGCTTCATGAAAATGTCGACTTGCTTGCGCTTAGCCCCAGGCGAGCTTTCGGGGCGCCTACCGGAAGATAATGATGTCGCAGGTTGGGAACGTCCGATGTTTGATGAACGGCCAGCATTTGTTGTCGAAGCTGGAGGCGGCCGACTGGTAGTGGTGGGCCTGGCACTGGCAGCAGCGGCTCGAGGTTGGGAGTTGGCACCAGGACTGGCGGAAAGAAGACCACGTTTGGACCTCGAAGGGGGGCTGCGAGCGTCTTCATCATCTAAGTCGCCGAAGAGATCATCCATGTCGTCGCCTGAGGCACCTTTGTCGTTGTGGTGGCTGTTGTCATCATCGTCAAAGCTCAACACGTTAGGAGCATGGCCGGAGCTGCCGCTTCTTCCTCCGTTCTTGATTTGCAGAAGGCGAGCTTCTCGGTCTTTCTGTTGTCGCGAGCTTGTTGCGGGTCTGATGCGAGGGCCCTCGATGATCGGGGCGGAATCAATGTCGAACTGATTTTGTATACGTTTCTCTTCGATCAACCTGTCAGGAGCCCGGGTGAGTTCCGTCTTCCTAGCCATGAGCATGACGGAAGGCTTGGCGAGCTTGCGGCGGTGAGCATCCAGCTTCGCCTCCCTAGTGGCCTTTTGTAGGAACGTGGCTCTTTTCATGGGCGGATCTGAGGAGGTGCTGAACCCACGGAAGCCGGGTCCGAAAGTACGGGCCTTAGGGGCTGGCAGCTTGCGAGCGACCTGGGCAGACACAATGGTGGTTGTGCGCGATGATTTCTGATCGTTGACGGCGGCCATTTTCGCTCTGAGAGCCTCTGTGGCGAGTTCGTCTGACTCCTTCTGGAGTTTGCCGTACTTCTCATACACCTTGTGCCATGATTTGGGGTTGCTTGGTTCCCATCGGTGCTTGTTATGGAGAAGTCCGTACTTGCGTTCGATGAAGCGACGCCAAGATTCAGCGGTCAGCTCGTAGATTTCGTCGCCGCTATGGAGTTCGATTGTGCGGAGGTGCTCTGGCGTTCTGACGGCTTTGAGGATTTGGCTGGCGATTTTGGGTGGCACGTCGTCCAGGCAGGTGATATCCTGAGCATTGTCGATGGCGAGCTTGAGAGCCATGTCGAGAAGTGAGCGTGGCCCAGTCATGGTGACTATATTATGGGGCTCCTTGCTGTTATGCTCGAGTAACTAGTACGACTTTGGGATTTGTCTAGTCGTAGTTAGTATCAAAATATGTCGAGGACAATGGTTGTTGGGCGAAGTACAAGGGCGTGTTAACCCAGCGTGCCACAGCCTTCTTCTCTTTGATGGTTGACGAGGTGTGGCTGGATGACGACAGATGTAGAACAATGATGTGTTCGGTCGTAGAATTCTGATTGTGATTGAATCAAGGATGTCCTTCAGGATGTCTTCGCAGCGGCCAAGTGAATGTGGTACTTAGAGCCAACCGTCAGGTTATCGGTGTACAAGCAAGCGAGACGAATCTGGAGTGAAGGTTGAGGTTCGAGGTTGACCGACTGGCTGTTAGAGAGTTGTCCATGGCAATGTATTTGTACTATGTAGGTCTCAGCTGCTGGCCGAAGTACTTCGAAGTACACGTATCACTGGCGCGAACCAGAGCTGCGGCCTGTAATGTCCGCAGGGTACATGCGAGATACACCTGGCGTTCAGCTGGGAGTCCAGTCTATTCGATCCTCCTGAACAGGTAAGCGGAACCTTGACGGCTGATATGTGGCCCCCACCTGCTCCCTGCAGTGCAGTGCATCCACCAACGAAAATACTCCCTTCTCCGCCAAGAGGTCCATGCTTCATTTTCCAGCAGTCTGTACGATTGGTGTAACCATCAGTCTTCCACCCATACATCATCAGCCTCTTAATTCCTTTCACCTTCATACACTCGATAAAGAACAAAATCAATAAGACTGCACGAAGTCGTCCGGCGCAATCGAAGACTTCACCTTCTACCATCTGTCGTCTTCTTCTTATTTTCACTTTTTTCGTATCATTGGACTCCTTTTCAATAATATTTACGTCTGTCAAAACAATCAAACATTGACGCTGAGCATCTCGATACCAACATCACAACCACAGGATGGCTTCCTGGGGTCTACTTGACGACAAGGAGGAGAATGAGCTCCACAAGTCACGACTTCTCAACGTGGAAGAGAAGCCCTTCAAGCGCGTGACTAAGCGCCTTAGCACTCTTCACTCCTTAACCCTCTCGAGAGCTCGTCAAGCACCCACCCCGCCTCCGGAGGGCAATAGCGCGACTGCTGGAACTACCGAGCAGGAAGTCCAAACGCCCACCGTGACCGGCGATTCGGCCACATCGGACCTCGCTCAGCTCAAGGAGGACATCATTCTGGACTTTGCCGCCTTTGATAGCAGCATCGCGCGGCTTCAGTTTCTTCTGACTGCCAACGAGCGTGAGCGCGAACGGTATGTCGCCGAGCGTGAGCGCATTCTCAACACGGCACAGGCAGTGCGCAACAACACTGTCCAGCTACGTGTTCAACTAGAGCAGGCCCGTGCCACGCTTGAGGAGCGCAAGAAGTTCGATGAGCTGGCTGATAAGATCACCAACAACCCTGCTTTGCGTACCAGAGCAGAGCAGGCGGCGAACCTGAGGAAACTGGAGGAGGAGATTGCCGAGTTAAAGACGGAGAGCGAGACCTACGGCATTACGTGGCATGAGCGGCGCGACCAGTTTGCGAAAATTATGGATGAGAGCATGCGGTTGAGGCGGTTGATCCGTGATGAGAAGGAGGAGGTAGAGCGCCGCGAAGGCATGGGCGATGACGAAGGCGGTGCCGGCGACACCGAGGCGGACGCCGGACAGACCCCACGGCCCGGGATTTCTAGCGGCAATGCAACCCCGAGGCCGGATAGCGGACTACCAACAAAGAGCGGAGTCGAGAGCGGTGACGCCGCTGGCACACCCCATCCCGTCTCGACACTTGGCGCCAGAACACCAGCGCGCGATACTCCTGCCCCGGGTGATGAGAACCAGTCATTCCTCAAGCCGCCTCATGACGTCTCGGGAGGTTACTCGCAAACGACAAGCCAGGAAGCAAGCCGCGAAGGTTCTGTTAATAGAGGTGATGGCAACGAAGCGACACAGGGAACCGATGTGGAGATGACTGAGGTCAAGGAAGATGAGGAGGAAGTCGAGGAGCCGGATAGTCCTCTTTCGCCTCTGCCGGACCAGACCCCGCCGCGACCGCGGATCACGGTTGACGGTCCTAATGCAGATGAGGACACCATGGACACCACGTAAGGATATTAGGTATAGGGAATGGTATTATCGAGCAGTGGAAATAATGGTGTAGCTATGTACGTTAAATCCGGCTAAGCTCTCTTGTTAATATTATCATGGGCCCAAAATCCAGCTTGATTGTACCTGTGGTTCATGTCGAAATCCCAATGGTTACCTCTTCAAAGACGTCGAAGGCCCAATCACTCCGCAGCTTTCACCGAATCTCGATATGTGGTAAATTTGCACCATTCCTCTATCATTTCTTCATCTGGATCCCTCACCTCTCAAACGCTCTCCGTCAGCTTCTTGCCATTCTCCAACGCCTCCTTAGCCTTCTTCAGATCCTCCTCGGAAGCCGAGCCCTCACTCTCGGAAATGGCAATCTGCTCCTCAAGCTTTTGAACCGCCCCAGCAATCCTGGTGATGAGGGGGCCAAACACTGCCTTGGTCTCTTCAAGTGCCGTTTGCTAATGATTATGAGCAATGAAGGGTTAGGGTTCACTGTGTCCAGCCTCTAGGTTTTGTTGCATGTTTCATGCATGGTCTTTGGGGGGACGCACCTCCTGCTTGAGAACGTAGGGAGCGTTGCTGTCCAGCTCAGGGCTGTTGGCGGCGATTTCGTCTTGGAGCTTCTTGATGCGGGCCTCTTGGGAGGTCTGCTCTTTGTGGTAGTAGGATTCCTCCCTGACGAGGCGGTTGACCGATTGGGTCGCGATGTTGAGAGCTGAAGGGGGGGCCATGGTGTTTTTGTTTGATGGAGGTGTGGTTGTAGTGTCTTAGCAGGAGATTATTTGCAGGGTTATCGTTCGGAAATTATTTCCGTAAAGTCTGTACATAAGATGGTTGCGATCTTGCCGTTCCACTACCTGCTTGGTTCAGGTTCCATACTTTTGCATGTTATTGCCTTGTCGTTCGTTTCGGCGGTTTGTTGACTTTGGCGAGCTTCGTATGGGAGGTGGGGTTGGCGGGGTAAATTTCACAAATCTCATCGGGGACGAAACCGACTTTTTCTCTCTCCCTTTTCGGAGATTATGCTCAATCAACATCTAGACCGCAAACTCATGTTTGTCAGCCGTAATTGTCTCCTTTACACAGCCTTCATAATGTCCTCTTGCATGATTCTCCCGTATTTTTGTTATGAAGCTTTTCGCGAGTCGATATGGGTATCGTATCATATTTGCCAAAGTTAATCTCTTCTTCCAACGGCTCAGTGGGCTGTCAAACAAAACCCGATCGAAAGGGCCATAGTGAAAAGCCGCAGAAGTCGTCTACATACATATAATGTACACATATCATCCCGATATTGATGATCTTCATGCGCTCAAGTACCGCCCTGTTTCGTATTTGGCAGTTGTTCTTCGCGACTAGACTGATGTCGTTCTCGCCCCTGTAGTCAAACTTCGACCATCGAAACGTCTTTCCAGATGTGGAAGGAAAGAGGCTGATAATGACAGTTTGAACGAGAAGGTCAAACAAAAACCTACCCACCTCGAACCCTCTCGCTCCTCTTCGCCCCATACGTTCGTTGCTAGAGGTATGGGCGCCCTGCTCTCAGCTGCTTCTCCAAAGTCCAAACGATGACAAAGAGAGCATGGTGTACAAAGAGCTGTAACTCTTGTCTTGTCTTCAGAGTCAATGTCTCGGCTAGCGCGGAGCCAAGTTCACCTTGGACACTGTCAACTGTCAACACTGCCCACCGCCAATATCTCTGACATTGGCCCGTCTTTAAGCGATTACCGGTCGATTGTCGAAACTCTCGTCTTGTTCCCATGTAATTATGATCTTGAGATCCTGTGACGGCATTGAGATGCAGGGCGGTCGGTGCCACTTGCCGGGGCTGGGCTGGTCGAGGCTGGGAGCAACTGGAGAGTGAATGTGGGGCAGTTCCGCATCGCTTGGCGATTTCGACTATGGAGGCTCCGGCTGGAGGCTGGTCCACCAGGATCCACCTGGGAGCGGGGCCCGGGCCCGGAGGAGGAAGGTGCTGGATCCATTTCGCTGGGGGAGGATCGGACTTGCCCTGTCAGTGGCCCCGTTTTGTCTCTGGTGTGGACAGCAAGCAGCACCAGTGGCCAGTGGGGGACTGGACCTGGGAGTGACCTACCCCTCCCAGCTTATACCTACGCCGTTGTACCTACAGCATCTCTGAGCCGCCGCAGGGGCATTCCGGACGGTTGAGAAATGTGCCGTGCAGAAGAGAGGCGACTTTTGTGAACTGGACACGTCGCAGCACAAACATGTACCCCGGTTAATGGTAGTACATATCAAGGCTGAATAATTCCAGACCATCGGTTTAGATCCCGACCACCAAAAGGCAACCTCTTCGTCGAGGCTAGCTAGAATCTTCTCTTGCTTTGATTCCATGGTACTTTTGGAAGCGTGTTTTTTCACCGTTTTCTATTGAAGGCCTTGTTTTTGAAGACCGTGAACTTTAGCCCCAAGACTGCTAGGGACTTTGCAATCTCGCGTTGAAGCTCTCTGGAGCCTTCACTTTTCGATTTCCGCCGAAAAGCGCCGTTACGTTCTACTTTTCGCAACTTCCAACAACATTTGTGAATATGGAGGCGGCGTTTGCAAAGCCCGTCGATGAGGTCCTCAGCGCCTTTGGTGTTGACCCTACCACCGGTCTAGATGACGAGCAAGTAGCTCAGTCCAGGGCTAAGCACGGCAGAAATGGTATGCGCTTTCTTTCCAGGATTCTTTGAATTCAACTTCGTTATTGTGTTAATGGCCTTTGCTAACCGTTCTGCCTGCCTCAGCCATTCCAGAGGAACCTCCGACACCCATCTGGGAGCTTATCTTGGAACAATTCAAAGACCAGCTGGTCCTCATCCTTCTGGGCTCTGCCGCCATCTCGTTCGTACTCGCGCTCTTCGAAGACGAGGGCGGCTGGAGCGCCTTCGTCGACCCCGCCGTCATCTTAACGATCCTAGTTCTCAACGCTGTTGTCGGAGTGTCCCAGGAAAGCAGTGCCGAGAAGGCGATTGCTGCTTTGCAAGAGTATTCGGCCAACGAGGCCAACGTGGTGCGCAATGGGCAGATTACCCGTGTCAAGGCCGAGGATCTTGTGCCAGGCGATGTTGTTGACATTGCTGTTGGTGCTCGCGTCCCTGCTGACTGCAGATTGATCTCGATCGAGAGTAACAGCTTTGCTGTGGACCAGGCCATCTTGACCGGAGAAAGCGAGAGCGTCGGGAAAGATTTTCAGGCCGTTGTTAGCGACGACAAGGCTGTCTTGCAGGATCAGGTCAATATGCTGTTTTCGGGAACCACTGTTGTCACTGGTCACGCCAAAGCCGTCGTTGTCTTAACTGGCTCCAATACAGCTATCGGCGACATTCACGAGAGCATCACCGCCCAGATCTCCGAGCCTACCCCCTTGAAGCAAAAGCTCAATGACTTCGGAGACCAGCTCGCCAAGGTTATCACTGTCATCTGCGTTCTCGTCTGGCTCATCAACATCCCTAATTTCGCCGACCCTAGCCATGGAAACTGGACCAAGGGTGCCATCTACTACCTCAAGATCGCCGTTTCCCTTGGCGTTGCGGCCATCCCCGAGGGTCTTGCGGTCGTCATCACCACCTGCCTTGCCCTTGGAACTCGCAAGATGGCAGCTAAGAACGCCGTGGTGAGAAGTCTTCCGTCTGTTGAGACCCTGGGCAGTTGCAGCGTCATTTGCTCTGACAAGACCGGCACTTTGACCACCAACCAAATGAGCGTTAACAAAATCGTCCATTTCAACGAAGATGGTACTGATCTGGAGGAGCTGGATGTTGAGGGAACTACCTTTGAACCCAAGGGTGCTATCATGTCGCAGGGCAAGAAGGTTACCGACCTTGCTCAAAACTCCGCTACCATCCTTCAGTTGACCGAAGTTGCCGCTCTCTGCAACGATGCCCGCCTTGACTACCATCCCTCTACCGGCACTTTCTCGAACGTGGGTGAAGCTACCGAAGGCGCCCTCCGTGTTTTGACCGAGAAGATCGGCCCCTGCGCCCCCTCTGATTGTCCTCCCAAGGATCGCGTTCACTACGCTAGCTCCTGGTACGAGAAGAAGTATGAGCGTCTTGCCACCTACGAGTTTTCGCGTGACCGCAAGAGCATGTCCGTCTTGGTTGAGCGCGATGGACAGCAGAAGCTTCTCGTCAAGGGAGCCCCTGAATCGCTCATCGAACGCTGTACTCACGCTCTTCTCGGTCCCGATGGCAAGAAGGTATCTTTGGACCGTAACATGTCCGAACTCCTCATGAAAGAGGTTGTTGAGTATGGCAACCGCGGTCTGCGTGTGATCGCACTGGCTAGTTTGGACAACGTTGCTGGTAACCCTCTTCTTCACACCGCCAAGTCTACCGACGAATATGCCTCTCTCGAACAGAACCTTACTCTCATCGGTCTCGTCGGTATGCTTGACCCTCCACGTCCTGAAGTTGCTGCTTCTATCAAGAAGTGCAAGGATGCAGGTATTCGCGTTGTCGTGATTACCGGTGATAACCGCAACACCGCCGAGAGCATCTGCCGTCAGATCGGTGTCTTTGGATCTAACGAGGATTTAACTGGCAAGAGCTACACTGGTCGCGAATTCGATAACCTTACCCCTAGTGAACAGCTCGAGGCCGCCAAGACTGCTTCTCTGTTCTCTCGCGTGGAGCCTAGTCACAAGTCTAAGCTGGTTGACCTCCTCCAGTCTCTCGGTGAGGTCGTTGCTATGACTGGCGACGGTGTCAACGATGCTCCTGCTCTGAAGAAGGCTGATATTGGTGTTGCTATGGGTTCCGGTACCGACGTGTCGAAGCTCGCTGCTGACATGGTGCTTGCTGATGACAACTTTGCCACTATCGAAGTCGCCATCGAGGAAGGCCGCGCCATCTACAACAACACCCAGCAGTTCATCCGCTACCTCATCTCTTCGAACATCGGTGAGGTCGTCTCTATCTTTTTGACGGCCGCTCTCGGTATGCCTGAGGCTCTCATCCCGGTTCAGCTTCTATGGGTGAACTTGGTCACCGACGGTCTCCCCGCTACCGCCTTGTCCTTCAACCCCCCTGACCACGATATCATGCGTCGCAACCCCAGAAAGCGTGACGAGGCTCTCATTGGCGGATGGCTCTTCTTCCGTTATCTGGTCATTGGTACCTATGTCGGTCTCGCCACGGTCGCCGGTTACGCTTGGTGGTTCATGTTCTACTCGGAGGGTCCTCAGATCAGCTTCTACCAGCTATCTCACTTCCATCGCTGCTCTACCGAGTTCCCTGAGATTGGCTGCGCCATGTTCTCGAACGATATGGCCAAGGCCGGTTCGACCGTCTCGCTCTCCATCTTGGTCGTCATTGAGATGTTCAATGCCATGAACGCCCTCTCTTCCAGCGAGTCTCTCTTGACGCTCCCTGTTTGGAAGAACATGATGCTCGTCTATGCTATCAGTCTGTCCATGGCCTTGCACTTCGCCCTTCTCTACACTCCCATCCTTCAGACCCTCTTTTCAATTCTCCCCTTGAACTGGGCAGAGTGGAAAGCCGTGATCGTCATCAGCGCACCAGTTGTGTAAGTCCCTAGATCCGTCTTCCATGTGATACTTTTTGAACAGTACGCTAATACTTTGTCTAGGCTTCTTGACGAACTTCTCAAGGCCGTGGAACGCAAGTTCTTTGTACAGAGCATCCCCAGCTCGGCGTCCTTAGATAAGAAGAAGGATCTCTAGACATAGGTTTTTGGTGGTAGTTAGACTTGACCAGGTCTGATAGTTTTAGATCTAGACGTAAACAACTCCTCTTGTCTATATAGATAGAACATATACATAGCGGATTACACCATGCCTAATCTGTGACGACAATATCATCTTGACATATCAGTTCTACCCATCTTGACAAGCACAGCTGGCCCGTCCGCTTGCCAGTTTGTCATGTTGCAAATGTATTTGTTCTATAGAGCCCAAGGGTACCGATAATCCACTAGCGCGTATGCGACTTGAATATTCCTGGCCCAGATTCATCATCATCATTATGCCCGAATGTCCTGCTTAATCCTGTCGTCCCTTCAATAGCCTCTTGGTGACCTTGTCCTTCTCGATAATGTAAACATGGGCGCCCCAGCCTGACAAGGCATCTCTGTCGACGGCGTTAAGAAGAGCCTGTGATATGGTCTCGAAGAGGTCCTCGGGTCCCTGTTGGGTAATTGTCATCGTTAGTACCACGCTCTCACTATGACAACCAAACACAAAAACAGCCAAAACGAGTGCTTTCAATGGAGGGGGTCGGGTTGGGGGTTCGCAAAGATTACATACCAAATTCGGCTCCCACAAGTTCTCGCACATGCCAAACAACTGCTCCGTCGCCGTTCCGCTCACAATGAAGTCCTTCGCGAAATCAATGCATCCAATGCTGTCAAAGCCGCAGATGAACGGCTCGCCCGTCTTGGGATCCAAGCCAGCAACAACGGGACTGACAAAATAGGGCCCAAAGCGGCGCTCGTACAGGCTGCTGGACACGAGGTTGGCGAACGTCCGGGGTGCAATGTTGCGCTCCTCCCTAAGTCGGTACATGTTCACCTTGTAGCGAAACAGGTCCGATACGGTCGACACGTCCGTCGCCAGACCGGTAAGCCCAAGGAAGACGTCGCCGTACTGGAAGATCTTGGGAAAGTTGTTGGAGACTGTCAACGCCTGAAGCCCGAGGCGCAGGTCGCACGCAATAGCCACACAGTCTTTTCCGACCATGGCGACAGCAGCGCCGCCGTCTGTGGAGAGTGAGGAAGAGCGGCGGTTAGTTAAGGTGCGCGATGATGATATGCCTTTCAAGGTGGAGGGGGCAAAATAGAGAGGATCGGGTATCGGAATATCGTACTTATCGAGAAGGGGGACGACTATTTGATGGCATCATTGTTAGCTTCAGATCCTGTTGGTCTGCCTCGCAGATAGGTTTAGTTGAAGTGTCGTAGTGGTCAGGCAGGCTTACCATCTTGTGCCTGGGATGTGATGCAAGTGGTGATAGTTGCTGGCTCGGATGACGAAGTGATGTTCGGTGATGGGGCTGGTACGTTTGCTGCAGTATGGTCCAAGTAGGGTGGACTGTTCGTCTTCGCCGTGAGGGGTATTCGCGATGTGATGGTGATGTTTGGTGAGAGTAGTTGGAAAGCTTGCCGTTTCCGTTGTCAAGCTCACCTTCGAACGGGCAAGGGAAGCTCCAGTTGACGAGACGGACAGGCCCGGGCAAGGCAACACGCAGCTGGCGCGGCTGGCTGGGCGGAGGACTAGATGGAGGTGGTGTCCACTAACAAGGGTGCCTGGCAGGGCAGGTTCTGCTGGGTGCTGGTGCCTCTGTACAAGTACCTACCTAGGTAACCTCAAGGTACTCTACCAAGGCAGGTAGCTGCCAGCACGGGGCATGCGATGCTAGGATTTGGTTTGTAGCAGTCTGTACCTTAGGTGGCAGGAGCTACCCATTCGGCTGTTTCTCCCCTTCCCCGTTGCTGGGTGGATGCCCGGTGTTGCCATCAAACGTACTGCGTAATTGCCCCTCCTGACCTTACAAGATGCCCGTCAGCCGTGGAAGCTCTCGGAAAGCTCACTATACATCTTGTGTACTCCACGAAACGACGGTGACCTGAAGACACGACACTCACTCGCCGCCTCATATCACTTCCTTCCATCGATACTTTCAGCGTTCATATTACCATCTGATAGAGCACATATCAGGCTTTCCATCATCCAATTTCGTCTCAACCTGAACCCTTATAACCCCTCCTTGCTGTGGACTGATATTTCCCAATTATATTACGCGGGGTTGCCTGAAGAACAGCCGCCAAACATAACATCCACAAGCAACTACGTAACTACTCCTTGTAAGGACTCAATCGTTTCAGCTTCACAAGTTCAGCGTCAACACAAAACAAAGTCTCGGCCTTCTCGTACCACTTGAACAATAAAGCGTCACAGCCAGACCGACCTTCATCATACCAATTTTGTTGCGCCGGCTCAACGCTAGGGGCACCATTGTTCACGTCTTCTCTCACCATCCCCCACAATCATAGTCAAACCGCCAGTATGTCGGCGCACGTTGAAGTGCTCTCTACGGACTTGAGAAGGACGAAAATCAAAGTCACGCCCGGAACCTACATGGTCGATGTCCTGGGGGAAGCTTGTCAAAAGTTCAACCTGAACAGTGACAAGTACCAACTTAAGTGAGAACGAACGCCCCATGATGCATGGTTGCCAAAACATGTTGAACTGACATTTGCATATAGGCACAAACAGAAGCTGATCGATCTGTCTGGTCCCTTCCGGACGTCAGGTCTCGTGTCTGGCGCCAAGCTCGAACTTGTGCAAAAGTCTAAGAGCGCAGCAGTTGTGTCGATAGCCCTCGATGTTAACGGTCAGCGGTACACGAAGAAGCTATCCAGTGACATGACGCTGTGGCAGGTTATGCGGCAGTTCGAGGTTGCGGAGAAAGGGTTAAACCTGACCGGCAGAGGCACGCCTAAGAGTAGTACTGGCCCTCAGGGAACCAGCGGTCAGTTATACTTCGAGGCGCCAGTGGTGAGTATCATGGGCAGAGAGTACACTTCGATGGAGGATCTCCAGAAGACACTGTCCCAATGTGGTATTAATTCTGGCAGCATCGTTCTGCGGGTTTCGTTCCGCGAAACCGAGAAGACCCTGTATGAGGCGATGCAGGATATCGGCCAATACCTCAAGGAGGTGGAATCAGATCAACCGAAGACACAGGCAGATGAGCCTTCAGCTCCAGCAACTGGGTCAGCGCCGGCGATAGAGGAACCTATAGAAGATCTTACTCTGGCTGCTGGGCCGAAGCCGATCAAGGAGAGTACGTTAGCAGAGCCAGAACTACAGACGGGCTCCGTAGAGGGAACCAAAGCCGCGGCCCCGGTCGCCCCTGCCCCGGAGCCAGTCCCGAAGACCGATCCAATGGACATCGTTGATGAGGTAGTCGCTCCTCCTGCCATTCCTCCTACAGAGACCACGACCACTATCAGCGAACCCAGCGACCCCCTTGTGCCTACGGGCGTCTTCAATGCCCCGTCCTCTACCACTCCCATCGCTGCCCGGATTCAGGTAGAGGACTCTGTGTACGAGCCCACCATCGCCCATGCTCAGCTACGGCAACAACAGCTATTGCAACGGGCGCAAAACCAACGGCTCAAGTCCGATGCCGAACTTGCGGCTGATGCGGCCGAGGAAGCAGCTCGGCTCGCCAAGGTCACGCGGGTCGATATCAAGATCCGTTTCCCGGACCAGACATCGGCGCAGTGGACAGTTGCCCCGGAGCACACAGGCGCTTTCCTATACCAGGCCGTCAAGGGAGTCATGACCCATCCTGACCAGCCTTTCCGCCTTATCCTCCCCGGCACGCATCCAATCGTTGCGGTTCAAGATGGTAACAAGAGGCTAGTGGCGGACTATAAGCTTCGGGGTAGGGCACTGTTGAATCTTGTATGGGATGAAGCGGCGTCGCAGGAGGCGCGCGAGGCGCCTTTTTTGAAGGGCAGTGTGGCTAGCCGAGCGCGAGAGGTAGTAGTACCGGATGTCTCACAGGAGGAGGGTGAAGAGGAGAAGGATGTCCAAGCTGGACAGTCGTCATCGAGCGGCCAAGAGGTGAAGCGAAAGGGTGATCATGGTCTGGATTCCGATGCTGTCAAGAAGAAGTTGGGAAAATTGTTCAAGCTGCCTGGTAGGAAATGAGCAGCTCCCGACGACCTTAGGTTGGATGACGCCTTCATTGTATGCTTCCGATTTATACAAGCTTTTTACTGGCCATCATGGGTATCGTTAGGCGTTGGCTGAGAGGTAAATGTACAAGATATGATAAGAGGGTACACTGGATAATATGCCAGAGCTTCTCTATGCACCGTCGAATTTGGCAGCAGAGACCTGATAAAGTGCAATGGACATCTAATATCCTACAATCATGGCACCCAGCAGGGTTGACGTTGGCAAATGTGAAGTCACGCAGTCCGAAAGTGGAAAGTAGTTTGTTCGTGATCCAGCATCTTGCCATTCAAGCTGTTGTCATTTCGTTTCTATTCCCCGAGGCCAGCTATTTCGTAGCCATTCCATGAGGGGGGGAGGCACGCTTAGATACGATTCATAACATAACGAACCAACGTCACGCCAAATAATGCCAGAGAAAAGACAAGAGGCAGAAATCCTTTTTGGTATTTTTAATCACACTCTCCAAGCAGTCCATACATTGGGATTAGCCAATTTAGTGACCGGCACGGCGAGCCTCAGCGATGACGCGCTGGAGGTCCTCAACCTTCGCCTTAGCACGGCCGAAGGTACCGAGCCTCTTCTTGGCGAGCTTACGGGCACGCTTGTCCTTGGAGTTGCGGAGCAACTCAATGACGCGGCGCTCGTAGGGAGCAAGGCTGTAGTGTGGAAGCGCAAAGTTAGCGTGAGTTCGCTCAAGCGGATATCTGCACATATGCGCCCCAACAATCCCCTTCTCAAACCCGATCAAGCGTACGGTCCAATAGTTCCAATGGAGATTGCGATGTCTTGCAGAAACGGGTACACATTTGTATGTCCGTAATCCACCCAACGAACCATCATCTTCCGTCAGTCGAACTGGTGTATGTGTGCTTGATCGAGTTTGTCGAGATAACTGCTGCTTGGCGCGAATGATTCGAATTGACAAAATTGGAATTGGTAAAACGTACCCAGCAACCTCCTGGACGATGCTGCGAACGAAAGCAGTGCGCTTGCTCAGGTGACCCTTGGTGCGGGAAACACGGGGCTTGGAGACACGAGCAGTGGTCTTCTATATTTGGGTAAAAGAGTAGAGTCCCGGTTAGCAATCACGGTTCCTTTCTTCGTTTCTCGAACAATCGTTCGGCGTAATAAGGTGGTGTTGGGGTTGTTGAAAACAAGAGGGTAAATGCAGTGTCCATCGTCTGCGATAGCCCTGATTTCCCTTTTTGTTTTCAGGAAGGCAACGCAGAGATCCTCCACGAGGTGAGACGTACGTGACCCTTCTTGAGGCCAACGGCGAGGCCGGTCTTGGATTCAGCAGCCATTTTGATGGTTGGTTGGAGAGGTGATTCCGAAAAGGGTGGTTGTCGGATGCTCGAAATCGTCGGCTGAACGTCGAGGGGACTTGGGAGAATAAAAGTTCGCGACTGATTTTTGAAGTACCCGCCCGAAAAGTGGGAAATGTTCTGTGGGTGTGGCTGGTGTGCGGGGGGGAAATGATCGCGTTTTGTGGCTGGTGCAATCGTTGCTTGTGGCTTATGTAAGTTGAAGCGAAAACACCATTCTCCCGTGCCCACACAGCGCTACTCGCCGACTTTCAACTCTTATTTCTCTCAGTGACACCATCGATCTCTTCCTGGTTACGACCAGTATCAACACCACAATGCATCAATAACTACTCCTCAACCGCAAGGGCAACCTTTGTAGCCTCCAGCGTGACACTCGCCTTACTTATTCCTCTGCACTGCCCTGTCCAATGTCGAGAGGACTCTTCGACAGCCAGCTTGTTCATACGAAGAAGACGAAGACCGTTGCCTCGCCATCTTGTTACTTCGAGACAGACAGGACTAGGCATACTAGTTCTTTTTGTCATTTCCGAGTACCACCCCAAGGCCATTACACTCGGCAAAGGCAAACACTTGCCCGGACTCAAAACCCCTTCGCAGGTTTCACTTTCGGTGTCACGATGTCGGCACCACGGATGTATACGAGATATCGTCGGACAGGGTTATGGAGAGCTCATTGCCAGACTATTATCCGGAGCCGCCCAGCCTCGTTGGGACAGTGTTTGTGCGGTCCGTATTCTTCTACCATTCACGTCCGGAGGTTGTTTGGGTCCACGGCCAACCGGAAAAGGCTCTTTCAAAGAGCATGACCTTAGTGAAGTCCGAAAACGGTTCGGGTTAGCTACCCGAGCTCAGTTTTCTATGGGTGGTTCTGACCTTGTATTCACTGCATGGTGTGTGCACCCTACATAGATCACAAGGACAGGTCGTATTGGAGCGGTAGCGCAGATGCTCTGTCACCCTGGACCAACTCTCGGGTTGTGGAGTAGTTGTTGGATAACGCACGCAAGCCTGCCAGTTGTGATAGATGGAGCAGTCGTAGACTCGTAGGACGGGTAGGCTATGGAGCCGCAAACGGTTTGGGAGCACCAATAGCCGAAAATATGTTCTTCTCGCGGCATTCCCTCCTTCTCGGTATTTCTTGGACTTCCACCATGACGAACTTCGAATACTGAGGTCTTGCGCCAAGCATGGTACTTTCAGTGCTGTCAAGAAGCGTTTTAGCCGATGAACTCCCCCTGGCAGGGTCAGTCGGCAACATGCTCAACGAGCTCGAACTCCCTTGGTGTCCCGGGGATGTCGTGGCATACGCATACTTCAAACACGCCAGACTAAGAATCTGTCAAGATTTTCCGAGGCCGTGCAAAGGAGAGAAACGGAAGACCGATCTCAACCGAGCATAATACCGAATATCTCGGCATGCTGTGTATCAACTTGCTTGACTGAAGCTGATGTGCGGGCATGTACACGTATTGAGACTTGATCTGTCTTGTCCGGATCACGGCAGCCAGATCTGCGCCTGATACTTCCAATCATTGCCCACCTCAGTACTTTATGTTCTGCCAGATTTGCAGATCGGATAGCCACTTCTTGGTACGCCGTAAGTGCTCTTTGACTGTCACCGGGTTGTGTGACCTTACAGGTATCCTCATTGCCGAATGCTGTGTGGATTGGATCTTCAAGGTAGGTGTACCGGTGTGAAGACGATCTACCTCACAGCATTCCGTTCCCTGCACCGTTCCCTACTGCGTATGCCTGAGTAACGGGGCAGGGCAAAACAGCAATGGATTTACTCTTCCTGCCTTTGTAGAGGCATGAGCTCATTTATTCATTCCCGAACCATTTTAGTTTCTGACATTGTTCCTTCCGTGTCTGCGATTCTACACGACTGCAAGCAGATATAAACCACACCTGCATCCATCCACACGACGTAGACATCCCATTACACAGCAGGATTACTCGAATATTCGACTTCACACCGCCAACATGCTTATGATGAACCTGCATACCCTCGTGGCTCTTATTCCTCTTGTGGCTTCTCTGCCCTCGATGCCCTCGTTTGGGAATAAGATCAAGTCTCTCTCCTCACGCGATGACCAATGCCCGTTCCCAGAATCCTACAAAATCACGTCGCTCCAGGTCTGGACACCAAAGAATAACAATACCCATCCAATTGTCGTCGATTTTCAATACGCAGACAACGAGACAAAGATCGAAACGTCTTGTTACTACAATGGAACCCAGCCAAACGCAGGACCAGAGGGCTTGGCCCCCAGATATGCTTGCGAAAACCCAACCGTGCAATTCCAGTGGGTCCAAAAGACGAGCATGCTGTCTATCATCGAGCTGGCATGCCCCAATACAGCAGAATCGTAAGTTTCCCATCGGGGACGCGCGGTACTTATCATCACCATCAGATCCGACTCTAACAAAGAAAGTAGGGGCTTCATGGCCTTGGACCAGTTCACCCCCAGGCTCAGCTGCGTCGATACAAGCAACACTACCGCGTTCGGAGAAGGGTCGCAATGCTTTTCTCTAGATTTTGCCATCCTCAGAAATTTCACTGCTCTCGACCCCATCGCACCCCCAGGAGGAAATTAGATCCCGGGGAGAGAAACAGATTCGTGAGACAAGGGCAATCACGGGTGCCTATGAAGAATGGGATAAATTATAGGCGGTAATCGGTGAGCAATGAATGGGATACGGGTAACGATAGTTAACGAGGAATGAAAGCACATGAATATCAAACTAGGTCCAAGGTGTTGGTCGTCAGTGAGGGAGTGGTTCCAGGTTCCCCTTGCATGACATGACAGGAAGAGGTGTAAAGTCGAGTTAAAGTTGTTAAAAGTTCCGACGTCTTGCGGGGTGTTGCAGCGGCGGCACTCGCTTACCCCCCTCTCGACCCCCTGTTTACCTACCTATGCTCCCCCTCCACAACGGGCAGGCATGCAACTCCCGTCCCGTTCATCTGACCTCTGAAACTGCAGTGTAGGGGCGTCCCTGAAGCGTGGGAGCCTGGAACAAGTCAATTCGACGTCACCACTTCCGCTTTGTATTCCCTCTTCCGTTCTGCTTGCTCTGCCCAACTCAATCATCACCTCCACTTCTTCGATTTTAGAACTCCGTCGTGCTGCAACGGATTTCAGAATCTCACACAATTCTACATCGCGAGTCCGCTTTCTTGTTCGAGCCCTGACCATTGAACTTTTTAATCCTAGAATATTATTCCAAGGAAAACAACAGCTGAACCCCCGCCCTATCGATCATCTACGTACGTCGTGGTCATTTTTCTCGGTTCGCTCATCAGTCACTGGTCCAGTGTTGGTCACGCGGTACGTTCTCGCCGCCCGGGGACCATGTTTGGCCGACATATTGTGCAAGAGAAGTTCTTCTAATGAAAAGCCGGCCTCTCGATCTTCCTTTTGTGATGCTTATCCTATGCCAGCCTTCCGATATCAGTGAGTCTTAGTTTGAAAAGGCTCGACAGCTTTACAATCATTCAGAACATGCAACTGTTCATCTACAAGAATGCATCTGATACACCAGCTTGGCCTCTTCCTCCTTCCGTTCACATCTCACTTTGTTGAGAGAGTCTTCGCAAACCCGTTAGCCGTCCCAAGAGACTCAATTCAACAACACCCCTTAGCTACACTCCACGGCCATACCCGAGATATTGATGGAGGACCTTACGCTCACGACATCCCAAGTCCGCCCCATCAACAAGGCGGCGGCGTCTCTCTCCCATTCTTCGCTTCCCTCGAGCGCATGGCTCGCCTGGTGGACATCACCTACTGCGTCGGCACGACCGGAGTTTCCAAGCCCTTCTCGTGCGTATCCCGTTGCAAAGATTTCCCTTCGATGCAGCTCGAGCGGACCTGGAACACGGGCCTGCTGCTCAGCGATAGCTGCGGATACATCGCGGTCGACCACGGCGAGAGGAAGAGGGGCGGGCGGAACGGGGGCGGGACCGTGGTCATCAGCGAGCCGGCCATTATTGTGGCGTTTCGCGGGACGTATAGCATCACTAACACGATTGTTGATCTGAGCACGGTGCCGCAGGAGTACGTGCCTTATCCTGCACCGGATGATGATGAGGAGGAGGAGGAGGAGGAAGAGGAGGATAACATTGGGGTCAGGAATAGGAATGTTGGAAAAGGAAGAAGCGATAACAACGATGAAAAATGCACCAACTGCACAGTCCATATGGGCTTCCTCGCCTCCTGGCGTAACGCGCGCGACTACGTCCTTCCCGCCCTCAAAGCCGCCCGCGCCAAACACCCCGACTATCCCGTTCGCCTGGTCGGACACAGCCTCGGCGGGGCCGTCGCCGCTCTCGCCGCGTTGGAGATTCGGCTATCGCTAGGCTGGCAAGACGTCCAGGTGACGACCTTTGGCGAACCGCGCATCGGTAACCAAGCCTTAGTGGATTATCTGGATAAGGCCTTTGGTCTTGATATTGAAGAGGACAATGACGCGCACGAAACCAGAGCCTACCGCCGCGTAACCCACGTCAACGATCCTGTGCCCCTCCTGCCCTTGACAGAATGGGGATACCGCTCGCACGCAGGCGAAGTGTATATTTCCAAGCTGAACCTGCCGCCTGCTCCCGAGGACCTGCGGTTGTGTCGGGGCGATAACGATCCGGAGTGTATGGCTGGGGCTGAGAACTCGGATGGCGGCGGATGGTTTGATGGTAGTTTGCTGGAGGTGACTGACTTGCTAGCGCTGGCGGCGGCCAAGGGGACTGATCCCTATTTTAAACATCGGGATCCTGTTGCTGTTGCTGCTGTTGATGGTGATGACGGCGACGAGGGTAGCGATGCTGGTGCTGGGAATGACGGTGTTGGTATCGGCGGCGAGTCAACTGCAACAGCACTCACGTCCAAGACAAACAGGCTGTTCCCCACCAGACTCAAGCTCTGGGAGCTCTTCTTCGCACACCGAGATTACTTTTGGAGATTGGGTTTGTGCGTCCCCGGCGGTGACCCGGCGGATTGGGGAAGGGAGAAGTATAACTTGACGCAGACGAAAGACTCTTTTGTGTTTGGTGACGGCGAGTTGTGAACGTTGCAGTAGGTGCATACGCCTGACTTTTTTCTTTTACCGCGCAATTCTTTTTTTTTTTTTGTTTCTTTTTTTTTCCTTTTTTTTTTTCGGAAGGCGCTCATCACAAATTATGGACGATACACATATTTGTTTCTAGGGCTACGGGACATTATGAGCTGGTGTTCGGGCGTTAACTGGGCTTTGGGAAACTCCTCGGAAAAAAAAAACAAACGTGTCAGGACTCCTATAGGGTATTGCATTATCACGACAAATGCACTTGAATGAGTTGATGGCATACATTAAGCGTCAGGTAGTAAAAGGTTTCTTGTGCTGAACACAATATCTCAATGAGTGAACGGGATGATTTGATCTTAGATCCCAATTGGATGATGGCCTATGTGTGAACTTATCTAGGCAACCATAGTACGCCAAAGGATCCTGTGACAATGATCCGCAGGATAAGTCGCTTTTCGGACAGAATATGAGGAGCATAAAACTGATTGAAAGAGCAAGAGCATGTTCATCATCGTTGCCTTGGTCAAAACATACTGCCAAAGAAACATCGTCTGCGCTGATAGATGATCATGGAAAGAGCCGCTTGAATTGCATATCTTCCCGAGAGCTGGGTTCGGGAAGGAGGCCGTCACCTGGAATTTCTTATCGAGGACGGTTATCGTGGGACGGCTATCATCCAGCAAGATCCTTGTGGTCTAGAGGTATGAATTGGAAATTTGACTGGATCCTTGTGCGGTTATTAGATATGCTGTGTCTGCCTTGATCCATTCCGCTATTAGACGTGACCCTCTACATGGCACACCATCTTCATGCCCCGGAGAATGGAACGATGATTATGTTCTTTTCCGCACCGATGGTATAAAGATATCAAGGCCTGATCCTCCTGAGTCTACATTAAGTTTACAAAAGGAACTTTTTCAGCGAGGGGAGGTAATATAAGGGCATTTAAAAGCACCGCAAAACAATCATGGTACGTGAACGTCCCCATAAGAGGACAGGGATATATCTCTGATTGGTGTATCATTTGTTTTCCTCGCCAAGTGGAATGGTATCGTTCCTTTGGCGTTTTGTTGGGAAAGGGGGGAAGTTGTTAAACAGAGACCTTCTTGTTTCCTTCTCTTACCCTCTTCCCATCCGAGAAAAAGCAGGTGGAAGGGAGAGGTGCGTGACGACAAAGACAACAGGGAAAGGATAATAATAAGAGAATAGGAAACGACTATCATGCCCTGCATTTCAGTGGCCCCCGGCATCAACCAACTTCCTTTATCGAAGCCCCCGTCCTGCCAATGGCCAATGTGCCGCATATTTCACGCTCCATCCGCCAGCCGGTCAAGTCCAGAGAGAACAAAGCCCAGCTCAAGTTTACAAAAATCCTAGCTATCATAGTCAAGAAGCAACACGAGACCAGTTGCGCAAAGGACGGGCGTTCCCGTGCCACTCCGGTACACCTCAGGCGACCAGCGAGGGCATGCACCCGTCATGGCGAAAGAAACCACGGTCTGGAAAAATGCGCTTACTGCTCCTCGGGAGCCTTCTCCTCAGCAGCCTCAGCCTTCTCTTCAGCCTTCTCCTCGGCCTTGGGGGCCTCAGCAGCGGCCTCAGGCTCGCCATTATCGGACGAGGTCCAGAGAGTGAGGTTATCCCTGAGGAGCTGCATGATAAGGGTGCTGTCGCGGTAAGACTCCTCGGACAGCGAGTCGAGCTCGGCAATGGCATCATCGAAAGCCTGCTTAGCGAGGTGGCAGGCGCGGTCAGGGGAGTTAAGAATCTCGTAGTAGAAAACGGAGAAGTTGAGGGCGAGACCCAGGCGGATAGGGTGGGTGGGAGTGAGCTCGGTCTGAGCAACATCGGTAGCGTTCTGCATGGCAGTGAAACCCCCAATTAGCAAAAGCGCATTGGTAGCAAATCGCGCGAATTTTCAGAAGCTCGTACCTTGTAAGCCTCGTGAGCCGCGGTCGCAGCGTTCTTGCGCTTCTCGCCGGAAGCAAACTCGGCAAGATAACGGTGGTAGTCACCCTTCCTGTTTTTGGATACCGGTCAGCTATCGTCAAGGCCAGGGGTTTGGCCGGATATACATACATCTTGTGGTAGAAGACCTTGGACTCGCCAGTGGCGGCGTGGGGGATGAGGGCCTCGTCGAGGACCTCGAGGACATCCTTGCAGACGGTCTCAAGCTCGGTCTCAATCTTTTGCCTGTACTCCTTGATGATGGCGACGTGCTTATCGGAGCCCTTGGACTCCTCCTTCTGCTCAATGGAGGAGATGATGCGCCAGCTGGCGCGGCGGGTGCCGACGACGTTCTTGTAGGCAACGGAGAGGAGGTTGCGCTCATCAACGGTGAGCTCACCACCGAGCTTGGCAACCTCCTTCATGAAGGTGACCATCTCATCGTAACGCTCAGCCTGCTCACAGAGGCGGGCGAGGAAAGTCTTGCTGTTGATTTCACCGTGTCGTCAGTACGCAGGCCGCCAGTGGGGTCAGATACACCGATGCCGAAGCCCGCGCGAACAGCGGGCAGCAGGCAGCGGAATCACACACACCTCTCGCGCTACACCAAGAACAAGGCAAACGTTAGCATATGTGTTGCACCTTGCCGGAAGCATAGCGATCCTGCTGGCCATGACCGGCGCCAAGGGGAAGGCGGTGTCGAGAAATGGGGGAATAGGCCGTCTGCGCCCGAAGGCCGGCGTTGACGGCGGGCTGGAGCTGACTTACTTCGTTGGCCATGATGTTGATTGGGTTGGGTATAGGGCGCGGAAAAGATCGCTACTGTTGCAAATTGGGAATGGAAGAGGAGAAAGCGGAAAGAGAGGGAGAAAAAAAATAGGTTAACCGGAAGACTACGGTGGTTTTGCTTTGCTGGCTGTGACGTGATAAGATTGGGAGGCGGGCAGGTTCGAAGGAGTGTCGCTGGGTTGAAGGCAAAGGGACTTTGGCTTTAGGGAGAAGGCCTGAGATTCCCCCGATCCCCGCTCAGTCTAGTGCGAGCCAGCCGTGCTGGGGGGGGCCTGCTTTTTTTTTCGGCCAAGGTGGAATCAAACGACGATTGGCTGCTAGCGAGAGACCTAGCCGCCCGAACAGCTCTGGCGGTGACCAGGCCAAACGGGCAAGGGGCCTGGAGTCTCTTGCTAACAGGTGGATGGGCAATTGGGACGAGAATCAGAGTGGCCTCCACGCGATTGCTTGACATTTGCGTGTGCCCACCCTAAGTACCGCACGGGGCATCTTGGGATCACTCACTCACGCACTCCGACATCCACAGGTCCGCCTTGTTCTCTCGTCTTCCCCGAGTCCAGCCACGTTCTCGGAGGTCGGAGAGGGGAGGTGAGTTGGGGTTGGGCCCAAACCAAAAAGCTCCCGTGGCTCCCAAATCTGGCAACCAAACCAGGGAACCAGGCCGCATCGTCTCATCAGGCTCACACTTGCCCTCTTTGCAGCGCAGTGGTGCTGCGAGTAATGGTGGCCGTGGCCGACGTTGAGGGGGATTGGATCGTGAGAGGTGATTCTTCAACTGCCCTGCCACTTTCTCTCAGTCTCCCCGTCCGCACGGCACAGCATCCATGACCTCGATCCATGGCGTGGCATGCTTCGTTCGACTACACAACAACCCACAAGCTGGAGTTATGTGCTACCCTTTCACCTTTTTCACGTTTACAGATGGGCCTCAGCTTGTACCTCGGTAGTAGGCTCGCGAGCTGTTTGCGTTTGCAACCTCTTTGCATACTAGGAGTCCATGATATGTATCACGCTCTGGAATGTCGCCCCCACCCCGAGGTGAAGTTCTCTGAAGCCTCATTTATCCTTCTTGACCATTGGTGTGTTGTCCACCGGGAGCCAGGCGGCGGCTCAAAAGGTCACATTTCTAATATTACCTATACACTACATACATTGGCAGGAATGTCTTAAGAGTCCACTTGCCATCCACCGCGGCGGATTCCCGTCACCATGGGTTGTCTTGGCGATTTATCCCTATTCCCCATGTTGGCCAGGCTGACACGGCCAGAGAATTGCGGTCGACGGCATCGTCGACGTCTTCGCTAGTCAAGCCCGGCATTTCCATGTGCAGCAGTTGCATCTTGCCATGTCTTGCACACATCCGGATAGCGGCCCAGCAGGATATCGGGATAAGGACGGCGTGCTCTGTTTGGAGTCTTTGGAACCTTGACTCAGAGCCCCGCTATCGGCAGCCCCTCCCTCATCTTCCCGGAACTAGCACCGCCAGGGAGTTCCCAATTCGCTGCCTCTTTGTCACCGCATGGCACACGTTGTCTCGTGCCAATGCTAGAATGCAGGCCAATTTTCCAATTTACCTCAACCAATAAGTAACCCCCTATCAAGTACCCTTTGGCCTGTGCGCTTGCTCTCATGCGCCTTGTTCATCGGCGGCAATCGATCCTCTCGCTCCGGCTGCTCAACCCTCTCCTTCTCAGGCTTCCATGTTATCGTCTTCGTATCACCTGGCAGGAAAAGGAATCATAATATGAGTCCAAAATCGTTGCCAAAATACGCTTCATCTAGTGGACTTGTCACAACAATGGGCCGACAATTCTGGCTTTGAGGCTATCTACAAGTCCCAGTCGTTCCATCGGGCATGTACGTATCATTGTTCGGAAGCGAGCGACAAAGTGGGGTCTTCGCGGCACCTAGCCAGTGTCCTCTGGCCGTTTCCAACTTTGTTAGGCCAGCGATCATTTCCTGGGCAGAAACTGGGTGCAAAAGGAGGGAACATGGAAACGGCTAGAAGACTGCGAGCCTTCTCCGGGCGGGTTGCTCACCAAACGCTAACCTCCCGCTCCCGTTGCGCCCCGCTACGTATACCTTGAGGTTGGTTGGTAGTGCACCTACTCTTCACTATGTACTGGACATCTCGATCTCGAAGCTCTGCTTCCTGCCCCCTCCATTTGCTGCTCCCCCCTCCCCCCACGGCTATGGAGATACATGAGGCAGTCCTGTTGGTGTGTGTACTTCCCAAGCTCTGGCATGGACAAACCTCGAGATCATGCAATACACCTAGTCATCCAGTCACAGCCAGTGTACACAACACAGCCCTGTGTTACAACCCTCCTTCACAGCAGACATCCTTGGATGTTGTGTTTGGCGAGACCGAACGGCTGATGGTTACTCAGTCGTTATCTCTTATGTTGGTCAGGGACCAATCTATCAGACCGGATCTACATCCTCTGTGGTCGAGCAGTTGTTGGTACCCAGTTCGGATCTCCCTCGCTCATCACCCTGGCCTTGTCCCTTACAAGATCATCAGGGACCCCTAAACAACCCCTAATAATCCCTACCATACTACTTGGCAGCATGTAATCCAGCCCTGGTTTGTTTTTTTAGTTTGGTACAGAAGAGCCAAAAGCCTACTAAACTTGGGGAAGCTGCCGAGAGTCTCGCGGATACTATGTAGATGCTGTAAGTTAAATCCGAAAGCTTTGGAGGGGGCTGAAAAATACTTCTGTAGCGTTGAGAATCCTGATCATTGTCAAACCTCTACAGACGGGGACGAGTTATTAGGTATCTTCCTAAGGCCAATGAAGTCTCTAGATTAGCCTTATTCTACCCTTGTTCTGGCCCCGTCAGAAGAACCAAACTAACAACACAACAGTCCTGTATTGTACACCCGCCCACCCCCCCCCCCCCCTTAAAAAGATCATCTTCTTGCTGATGGCCTGGCTATAAACCCCTCCATGGCTCTACACTACGCCAACTGCCACGGCTTGGCTGTTAATTCGTTGGACAGACTGGGAACCATGTTTAACCCCCTCCCCTGTTTTAGGTCAGTCGTCACGCGACTCCAACAATGAGATTGCGAGCGACAACCAAAGCTTCAAGGGAGCTGAATCTAGCGCGAGGTTGTGGTGATGGTGACATAAGGCACAGGCAGCAATGTCACGATACGCTCCAGTCCAAAGGAAAACTACTTCTATCTAACGTGAGGGTTGATACAATTCGTGACGAAAAGCGAACCTCGGATGGCCCTATCCTGACCTTTTAATGAGTCTAGGCGTCGTGTCGTTGTTTCAGTTGTAGTACAAATATCATGGTTCTGTTATTGCGGATTCTACATTCGACTTTATCGCCATGTGCCATCATGGCTCAGGGACGTCGACGAACGGATACTAAGGGGAACGTCGTCACAACAATAAGTAGAAATGGGTAGTTTTCAACCGGGTTTTCCGCCCTTCGATTCGTCTAATGAGGTTTTCTTGAACGCAGGGCGTTTATCTGCAGTCACTCACTTCGAGATAGAGCGCGCCCATCGATTGCAGCCGTCCTCGTGACACTACCCAAGGCTCTTCCAGTTCAGTCAACCCCAAGTTCACGGGCCGAAGTTCAAGTTGTGAGTGAGCTGGTTTCTGCACATCTCTCCTGTCCCTAAGACGGTCATGGAAAGAACGATACGCTGATATCTGTCCCAACCCGCACTTACAGATTAGGCAGATATGGAATATCATGATAGGGTCTCCATGGTCAATATCGATATTGTACATAGCCTTTTCACATCCATGAGAAGGTAACGCATGAATGACGTGAGTTACCGCACTTTTAGAAGGATGGTTAAACATCGGTATTGCGCGGCGAATAAAGAAGCTCACTTGGGTTTTTGTGTCTATCATATATAACTCAGGAATCTTTACCAGGTAGTTAATTACATAGAAACACTCAGCACAGCTCACTCGTCGCTCATTGTCTCTTCCTTCTGGTCTTGGTCTATATGTCGCCTGGGCTAGACAAGTTGAACGGTGGTAGTCAACTAATCTTGCTCTGGTTTATGTACCAGCTTGGAGGCTCGGGGTAGTTAATAGTCAAGTTTTCTTTGGTTACATGGTAATTCGTTTCACCTTGTCAAAAGCTCATCAACTGATTGTGGACTTGGAACAGCGACTGAAACGCTGTCAGTGCATAGATAGTTTACTCACTTGACTCCTACTTTCTATTTATACAATCGTGATACGATCGATCGATGGTGGAAGGGCAGGACAGGACTGAAGAGGAAAAAGGCAGGAGATAGCTAAACTACTTGTCAGGTCTAAAATCACATTCTACCCTACGACTTGCTATACCGCAAGGCAGATTGATCTATATAGTACAGTTGAATATCCCAAGGGAGTTAAAGGCAGGGTTATCAGACTTACTTCAATCCCCTATAACGCATAGCAAGTCCTCTTTCATTCAAACTTCGCGAGTGTTTTCACGATTGGGTTTCAAGGTACCTAGTTATTGCATCAATACTGACTGGATTTGCAAATTCTAATACGCATTGTCAACAAAGTTAGTATTTTTTCTGATATAAGTCCTTTTACATCTTTTTCAGTTGCACTTCTTTCCTTCAGACAACTACGCTATGAGCCCAGAAATTTTAGAAATCAACTACATATTTATACATTTGTACTGTGGGGATCAATGCGCCTGAATCTATTTAGTAGAGAAAGACAAGAAGGCACTTTCAGACCTGACAAGAGGACATTTAGAAGAGGGAGAAAGAACATATTTGAGTGGATTAGAACCTAGTTATAACCTCTTTGCAAATACTCTCACCTTGGCTTAGGCTCCTTGATAAGGTTCTCTAGTGAAAAATAAAGGAACGAGTCTGCATCCAGTTGATTCAGCATCCACTGTCTACTTACACTCTCGTTCTCATGCACACAAGTCATAGTCCTCCAATCTCTGCTCAGTCATCTCGCTGTAACCTGTTACGAGTCCTCTACTTCGACAGCAAACACGGAGAAAATCACAGAAGAGAAGGAGCATTTCCAGCAGTGTCAAATCGTCTTGCCCTTTCATGTTCCCAAAGAGGTATCTACTCGCTACTTCTTTGATCATCATCATAGCTGCTCAGCAATCCGTACATACTTCACTTGAGATAATCCATGTTAGACGTCATCACAGACCACCACGCTCTGGACACAGATATAAGCGTTCCAAACCATGAGCCAAGCGTTCTCGGGAGATAGTTGAAAGCGTAACATAATTATATCCATGTAACCGTGATGTTAATACAGGGTCTGTGTAGTGCAGGTAGTCAGTACAGTATATTGTCCTTCTTCCATCTGACATTCCAACGCAATGCATCATTCCCTTTCCCATATATGCCATATGTATGCATTGAATGAACAGGGGTATCAAAACCAGCCCGAACCAGCCAGCCGAACAACTAAACAATTTCCCTTCTTCCTTACCAATACTCAAAAGACAAATTAAGAGACGACACTCGTGGATTGTTCATCCCAAGTGTGAATACGCCGTTATATATCCCAAGCTCCTTTGATGGCCACCCATGAATTCCTTCACGCGTTTCACCCCTCTCCAAAATGCCGATCTCCTGATGCTACCTTCCACTTCTCCAGCATACAAAGCACATCGATCTTAGCTTGGTGGGCTAACAAACACCCCAGAAAAGAGCATTACCCCAGTTTGCGCCGTATTAACCCCATGCATGCTGTGTGCTGTCTATATTTCTCCGCTTCTAGTTCGCTCTCGCCCGGTAGATGTGTGGATGAAGCTATGCTGCATTGTTCCTTGGGCCGAAGCTCCTTCCTGATTCGAATAAACACCGCCGCCGGGCCCGCTGTATCTGGCATCAGACCCGGCCGATGTTTATCTCTCCAATCCGTCGTGATATGTCCGTCATGACTTGTTGCGCTCCAACAGTTTCGCTGCCCGCTGCAGACGTGCATAGCTGACTTTCAATCCGATCTTTGCCCGGGGGTCATCAGAATCGCTCGACTCGTCTGATTCTGACTGCAGCTGGTTATGGCCTCCGCGAGTGCCATTCAAGACGGCTGGCTGTCTTGGAGTTGTTGACCATGAATTCTTTGTCATCTTCGGTTGGTTATCAGGGGCTTCCTTCGATATTATAGCATTGAAACCGGACAGACGCGACGGTTTGACTGGGGACGCCGTGGCCTTCTGCTGTCTATTACCGTAGGCGCCGCTCACGGGCGTCGACCTGGCGGTGAAATTCCGGTCCAAATGCTTCTGTGATACCTGGCGGTCGCTGTCACTTCGACTGGGCATGACCCGGCGAAGAAGTCCACCGAGTCTCCGAGTGAACTCTGTTCGCGTGCTCCGTCCAACCTTCTCTTCTGGCTCATCAACATTGAGCGGGCCGAAATCTCCTGTTGCGGGGGTCGGCGAAGCTGGGCGATGACAATTGCGACACATACTCACTGCGGTGTCAAGGCCGCCAGAGGAGGATCTAGTAACCGGCAGAATGGCTCGCACCCCGCTCGTGAGATCACCCCCTTTGCCCTTCCATCCGCGGCCCCTGGCCGTGAAGCTTTCTGAGCAGCAACAATATGTCGTATTCCCGAGGTTAACGACAGACTCGCTCCATCCCCGGATCCAGTCAGCCTTTTTGACATTGCGCCCGGGTATAATTTGTTGACGTGTCGCCAACCAGTTCTGAGCCGTTACGGGCGGTGGAGACTCCAAGGGTGTCATTGTTGACAGAGATTCCGATGTTCCTTCTTCCTTCCGTACAGCTTCCTGACTTGGGCTTGGGGCACCAATCGAGACGGTTGAAAGTCCCGGATACTTGGCCGGACTATCACCTCCTAGCTTGGCCATCGGTACTGTTGCTGCTGATCTCGTTCTGCTTGTTTCGCCCAGTAGCTGGGGCTGTGACGATTGGTGGTCGCCTTCGGCCAAGGTAGCGTCTGGGCTTGCAGCCGCTTGTCCATCGTAAGCAAAGGAATATGGCGAGAGTGGTCTTTGGAGAATGAAATCTGAAAGGGCGAGGGGAGCAGCGGGGCTGGGCATCGAAAGCCTTCCCGGTGAGGACACGGCTCTGTAAGAGTGGTTCATTGTCGCTTTTCGTCGTTGGTCGATCTGCGATGGTCGGTTACCGATAGGGAGATGGGCTTTCAAGATCAGGGATGTATGATCTGCCAACCGGGAAGAGGGTGGGTTAGGGTTGGTCCGAATAAACACTAGATCTCGCAAATGAACTGTGATGTAGTTCTTTGGGGCAATCGTATGGTGCTTGATCGTATGATAGATGAGGTCGCAAGAGGGCTCGATTGGATCGACGAATAAGTACGTGGCAAATTCGGTATAGGCGGGATTCAGAGATTGATAGAAATGGCGCAATAACAGTAGATGCACAGTTTGATGTGATTGTCGGCAGGGAAAGTCGTCCAGGTCGATATGATGATGGAAGATTATGCTTGTGATGAGAGCAAACAACCAAACCCAACCAATCTCTCTACCCCTCGATGTCGTTGATCTGCACTCGTGCCGTGATATGCAATGTATAAACCTGTACGGCCACTCCGCGGTGCTTGCGTTTATGTGGTCAATACCGAACGATGATGGTGAGGGAGTTGCGACTGCTTGTGACGCAAGCAGCAATCTGAATCGCCAGTACAAAGCTCACAGATTGTATCGTCAATTAGACAACGGCTCAAGTGAGCAATCGTGGCTGAGATTGCTGCGACGTTGATCAAACAGGCCAAAGCGAATAGGTAGAGTGAAGAATCGGTTGTTTTCCTCCCTCGGCATGACCCAAATGCTCGGGTTCCAGGTTGGCCGGACGAAAGATAGAGAGGCAGACGACGTTTACTTCCTGGTAGCTGCCATCTTGTGCGCAATAAGAGAATTTGAGGTCTTCAAGATTTAAACGTGGGTGTATCCCCGACTTTTTGGGACTTCGGAGTCGGCAAAAAGAAGGTATGAAGAATGGGGCTCTAGGGCATTGATGACTTGAACGAGAGCGAAAGCGGACAGGGCGAACTAGGTGATCAGCTGAAAGTCGCTATCATCATGGTAAATCGCTCGAGGGAGTCGCCAGTCAGTCTTCAAGTTGGGATTGGTTTTGCGGAGCTAGAGGAGCCCGCTTTCTCGTTCTTGGTCGTCCTTGGTCGACCGTGGCCCGTGACGGCGGTGTGGAATCCCCCCTTCCGGTTTGATGAGAGATGGGGTCTGTTGGGTCACGATCTAATGGATGGAGAGCAGCTGAGAGGGTGCCTGGCTGCCGGACCTCTAGCAAGCTGGAGCCCGCCCACTGGGGGGGAGAACTGATATGACTGGGACTGGGAAGATGCAAAGATGGGGTTGAGATCGCACACGACCCTGCAACCGCTGGCGCTGCGTTAGGTATGCTGCGATGCACTGCCCTGCACCTACGGAAATTGGAATGATGGGTGAAATCGACTCGATGTTCCCGTCATTCGACGCAAGCAAGTATAGAATGGCGGGATGAGTGAGGGTCTGAGTGAAAAGCGGAACCGCGTCTCGGTGCGACCCGGTAGGAGTTGCAAAAGATCGAGCCTCGTTGAAGTTGAAAAGTGCCAGAAGGCGGGAGGCCGACAAGGTTGGAAAGGAAAGTAGAGGTACGTTGACTGGGAAGGCACAAAAGGGAATTCCGATTGGACGGAGAAAGGAACCGCGATTTGTGACTTGACACGACCGGATAACCTGACTCGGATGAACCCTCCCAGACCCCCTGTCTTTGGACCTAAAATGTCCGGGATATGAAAGAGGAGTTTAATCTACTGTCTAAGTGGTTGGGTCGTTAGTTTTTAGTCTCGGTTTGGCATTCCTCGACAGGCTCTGCCACTTCGGCTTTCAGACGCTTTTCCAGGTTGGTTTCGGGCTTGGGCGGGTACCAAGGTTGGATGATGGACTGTCGCTTATTTGTATCCTTTTCCATAGCAGCCGCCGTCTCTTCCTATTTTTCCACATGAAGGGTGGGATCATCCGGGATAGGGGCAAGGCACTAAGAGGGTCATCGTGTACGAGACGGTGTGTGTGCTTGGGCGGGCGAGTGCTGTTGACAACCAAGACATTATGTACACTAAACAGAAAAAAAAAAAAAAAAAAAAAAAAAAAAAAGCAGGCGCTCGGTGGTCACTCACTCACTCTGGTCGGTCACTCGTCCACTCCGCCCATCGAATTGCAGAAGCCCTGGAAGAGCGATGCAAGACACAGGAACATGGCATGTGCTATGACGTACATGTCAGTGCACCCTTCGCTAACGTTCACTCGTGCGTCCTTGCAGTGTTGGCACAAATACAGTGTCCACCCAGACATCATCACACTGTCAATTTGGCGACTCTGCCTGGATCTCGCGGTGTTTTCGTCGTGATCACCGCGGCAGATTTGCCGGTACTGTGTGGCTCTGTCTTGGCACCCCCTTGTTGAAGCAGAGCATTGAAGTCTTCGACCCCGGTCGGTCATCAGCCATCACGCCCACTCACCTGATCACCCGCGTAGGTATCCTCCGATGCGTTTTACATATGTATGCTGCAGTGTACAGCCACTCCATCGGCTCCATCGATTATCTTGATTGCCCTCGCCAGCTCATCTAACGACAATTGATATCAGCATCATCGTACGTGCATTGAAGGATGTCAGCGGAAGCGAGGATATGTCCATCTAAGCCCTTGAGAGGACATCGGATTACATGTCCTGATCGACCCGATCTCGCTGCACAAGTTGCCTTACTTTGCTGCCATGTCCCTCTAGGCGCACTCAGGAGGCTGCTATGATTCCAACTCAGCATGCACTTTATGTCCGATTGTTTTTCCCGCCTCATCTGAAGAGACAAAGCCTAGCAATAGGAAGTGTTTGACGTATATAATGTATGCGCGCCTCATGCTTCTTTGTCTATAACCAAAAGCTGTTCAAAACTACTAACATAATCCTAATTCAAAAACCTATTACCTCGGTTCAAGTCCTGTGGATCCGTGCAGTCCTTCCTTCATGAAGGTTTCAGTGCCTGCCATCCTCCCATCTGAATGCCATTACTGTCATCATCATCCAGAAGATTAACAGTATGTGATTTCCTGGGCGGAGGCGGCTGCGGCGCCTCAGGCTTCGTCGCCTTCTGAACAAGTGCTGGCCCTGGCGCAAGCGCAGACATAGGCACAGGCTTCCGTCCTGGAACCTGTGTCTTTTGCCGAAGATCGGCCATCCCGATGAGACCTACACCTCCAGGTGGCGTGTACCGTGCCTGAGGCGCAACTCCCGTGCTTGTATTGACGCCCCGAGACGGCTGCAGCGGCACGCTGCTATCCCCAGTTCTATCTTTGAGTGAAGATAGAGACGTGGAGCTTCCGTTGGCTAAGGATCCTCGTAATCCTGAGAGAGGCAGGTTCGGAGAACACTCTGGCTGGAGAGGCTTCCACTTACTGAGTGTCATCATGTCCTCGATAGGCACAGGTGCCGAAGTGTTGGACCCCGGTGATGATGGTGCTGCCAAATGGGCAGGTTTCTTGGCTACCGGTGGCGCAGCTTTCTGCTTAATGGTGTGTTCAGACGATACAGACATCGAGCGCACCGGGAGTGGTGGTGTAGCTGCTGCTTGTGTTGGTCCTGCTCCTGCTGTCGCTGCCGTATTGGCAAGCTTCCTAGTCACTGGTGAAGTGGTCATGCCAGGCCCCGATGTGGATCCCAGAGCACCCATACCGGTCTGCCTTCGTGGAGGAGGGGGTGGTGGAGGAGTATCGGACTTGCCGTTCTTCCCGTCTTCGTTGAGTTGCAACCGCCCAACCTTTGCGGGAAGGTTCGATGGATCAAATGGAGGAGGGAGAGGTCTTCTCGGTGCCGAGTTTGACGCCGAAGTCGAGAGCAGCATCGAATGGTTGACATGTTCAAACGGTGATGTTGAGAGACTCGAGAAGGAGGAAAGTCTTGACTCAGATCTCGGAATATTGACCCAGTCAGGTTCGTCAGTGGGCATGTAAGGGTTGGCTGGCCTTTTGGGATTTAGAATAGTCTGGAAGGCGGGGCTCTCGGGTTTTGGTGGTTGGATGGCTGATCGGGGCATCTTGCCATTGTCTAACCACCATTTCTGTCGATCGGAGCTGGCTGGGGGGAGGCCAGGCTCGATGGCATCGTATCCAATCAAATCCTCGTCGTCGGACTGATCCCCAGCCAAGTTGGCCATGTCGCCGCCAATATCTGCTTTCCTGCGTTCATATATCTCACGACTGATCTTGTTGCGAATTCTCTCGTTCACAATGTTGACGGTGCATTCGAAGACGGCATATACTGGCCGGTGGTCTGAAAATCGCAAGGGCGCTGAGTTGTAACACAACTGGCGGAGGTTGTGACCTTTCCTTAGAATACGGTCCGTCCACGCCGGTATACGTGCTTTCTCCCTGTGTAGATTCTTAGAAGCCATGGTCGTTGCGAATATCAAACTGTTGGACTTACGATGTATCAAAGGTGTCGGTACCAATGTCATATTTATACGTAGGGTTAAACGTGATACGTGCCTCAGAGTAGTAGTGGAACGCAAGCCCGGCCACCATTTGTAGGTTTAACTGCAAGAGGTCAGCTTAACTTCTCAAAGGCGCAGCGATTGGGTGACCCACCTGGTCGTTCGCATATAGTTCCTCAAGAGCTCCTTTTCTGACCAGGTCCTTGGCGGTTTCGAGGTTCAGTCCAATGCGATAGTTGAAGTCCCCAAACCATATGACAGATTCTACAGGTATCAGTCATGCCCGCCAATTTGTGTGAGTGGTCAGCTTACCATGATCGTCAATCCCTCTATTTCTTTGGAATCGGAGGCCGTGATTGATCGTGGTATAATCTCTATTGCGCTCCTCGTAGTTGGTAAAACCGGCAGCAAGATGGGCTGTCACGAAGCATATAGGTGTGTTTGCATAATCAAGCCTGATCGCAACAGCTCCTTTGTTTCCGGCCATGCCCGAAAGCCCTGTCTTTTTGACACTGCCTTCGACATTTTTGATGTTTTGGAGAGCAGAGGCCTTAACGAAGATGCACAATGCGGCGCCCACGAGCTGGCCACTTCTCAACAACACGTATTTCTCATCATCAGCTCTGTTGTAGTGTCGATCCAGAGTAGCCTTTATCGCACGTTCCCACAACTGCTTTCTGGTTGGATCACTGTTCATAATCTGCTGCGGATTAAGTTCGACGATTTCTTGGAACCCGATCGCAACGATTTCGGGTTGAGCATCGCCCAGTTCGGAGGGACAAAGCCAAGCCGACAAGTCTTCGTCGATACCATCGGTCTTGCCGTTCAGGTTGAAAGTTCCGATTAAACTGTCTACATCAGCATCGTGCGACACCAAATCGACAAAGGTCAAACTTACATCCGAATCTTTTCATTTGTAGAGAACTCGTTGCTTCGCCGTTGTAGTTCCATAGACACGTAATCACTGATAGGGTCATATAGATGAACTGGCCCCTGACCAATCATTCTGCCAAGAAGTGTATCAATGGTCATCTGTCGTTGTTTGTCCGTGAAGTTATTCACATATAGTCGGGTAGCCGACTTGCGGACGTCCGCGATAGCTCCGGCAAGAGACATTTTGCCTGACCGAGTGAAGGAACTCTTCAAAGCACCGGTGCCGGCATATATACGGGACAGAGCATCACCGTTATCAGCCCACAGATTGGCATGTCGTGACCAAAAGTCCGACGCAGCACCCTCGCCCTGATGGCCTAAGAAAGTCTCTACCGCCATTTGTGATACTATCGTCTGAATAAGGTTCGTTCTGTCGAGACAATCCAGACAATTTGTTCTGAAAACACCTTCTTGTTGTAGCACGACCACATAGCGGCTTTGGCCAGGCGGAGATGTACATTTATCGGAGCCCGCCCTCTCTTCGCCGTCATCCGCCTCGTGGGCCAGGTAATATGCGAAGCCGTCGGCCGAGCCCTCCAGATAACGCCTGATCTCATTTGCTGCCTCATAACCTTGGGGTCCCTTTGTCTCAGCATGGAAGTCGTACTCGGTAGCTCTAAGGAGAGCATGATCGCGTGACTGTCCCTCCTCTGGCCGGCTAAGGGGGCAGTTCCGAATACCGGCACGGTACAACGACGTCAGTTCGTACTCTCCTGGCTTCGACACGCTGAGTAGGTTTATCACATGGACAGCACCATATGCCTGCTCCAGATCAGAGAAGTGTTTGTTGAATGCCGGTTGCGTTCCGTCCGGTGATCGTGTGATGGTTATCTTCTGCTGGTTTGGGAGCAGCCCGGCTTGCTGTTCCCAAAAGACTGGAACCGAGCCGCGTACTTGAGCATATGAGAACACAACGCCTGAAGGGCTCCAGTACGTCGTCTCAGTTTCCACAAAATTTGCAACATTTCCATCGTCATCAATGCCCCGCGAGTTAAATCTTGTGCCTGCCCTTTTACAGGACAGACGCGAGATGATGGTCAAGTAGGAAGGGAGACCGGTCTTGGCAGCCCTCAAAGGAGCTGAGGCCTGAGGGATGGCCCATGTTCTACAAAAGCCTCGAATCGCGGACGTCAGGATCCGCGAGGCATCCAACGCATCTCGTTCCTGTTCCTGCAGCTTGGAGCGGAATTCCACAAGCGGACGGATCATGTATGAGTTCCACAGAAACGACTCGTCGAAATTGTCGATATCAAACGTTACGGCATCGGCTGGTCTGTCCTGCATGCGGTTGGTAATGTCGAAGTCTGTGCTGTAGTAGAATGTCCCGTTACTGAGAAGCTTTTGCAACTCAACACATGGATGCTCCATTGGGTCCCTCCGGCCCAGCGGTTGGCCGTATACTGACGCAGCATCCAATTCGTCGTGAACATCTAGCATGAAAACATCATCGTAAGCTGCTGAGTTCAGACAGAAGAACTGCACACTCTCTATCTTTTCCACCGTCTCTCCTGGACGAAGAGTAGCGACCCTTGAGGCTTGGGTGATGACACAGATGAACACGTCCGGCCCGATTGAGATCATTCCCAGTGTCCCATAGATGGGCCGTGATGTCAAGGGACGGTAGTCGAGTAATAGCTTGTCCGTCCGCGGTGTGAATTCCACCATACACTTGGAAGGCATGTTGTCGAAACTGCCGGATCGTGGACGAGCGGAGGCAACGGAGGCGAGAGAGCCATTGGCAATGGCTTCGCTTGTGCTCTGACTATGTCGAAGAATGAGAGCGTGGGATTCCGAGGCGATTGCGATCGCGCGGTGAGGGTATTCGCGGATGAGGATTTGGCTCGACTTGTCGAGAGACGGCGATTGGCCCGCCCAAAGAGCAGACGATGTAGAACTGTTGTAGTCCATCTTCGGTAGCAGTTGCTTCGAATGCAAATTGACTATGGCGGAGGTTTGGCGTATGCTAGAGCTCCCATGTCGAGACCCTTCACAAAATGGGTTTCGTGGGTTCGTGGACGCTTCCGCGGTGGAGGCTACCTGGCAGCAAGGTTTCGAGTTGGTACGACGCTCCTGGGGGCTGTTCTCAAATAGTAGAGGTCAACGTCGACGACTCTGATCAGGGTCGAGCGAGTAAGCGGGAAGCAAAACGGTAGGCCCAAGCGACCTTGCTATGTTGAGAGCGAGTAATGGAGCAGCATAGGATACCGGCAAGACGTGCGGCCTGAAAAGCTCAAGCAGCTTTGGTGATAGGTTGTCGCAGGACGATCGATAGCTTTCGTGGGTAGGATGTAGTGTAGGCGAGTGGCTATCGACTTGAAACCGCCAGTGTTACTGAATGCCGAGGCGTACAAACAGAGGCGATAGAGGTATTGGATTAGGTTTGAAACTTAGATATCGACGTAAGTATGCACGACAGCAAGAGTGGTCTTCAAGAACGGATGTGGAAAGGTACCGCCGCCGCTCAGATGGGACTTCCGGGATGAACTACAGGTACACGATGGAGAGCAGCCGGATGACGGCGGCAAGGTGTCGGTCTGGGGGCACCCCTTGCCCCCCCGAGCATTGCTTTTCAGCTGCCTCCACTTTCCGCTACTGCTGGGCCGAAAAAGCTTCCACTTCCCACTACGCTACCTCGATGCCCTGGCCCGTCAGGCTGTCAGCCCTGCCACAGGCAAGGAGCCGCAATCGGGCACCTCACTACATACCTGCTACATACCTGCTACATACCTGGAGCGGGGCCCAACCAAGGAAGCTACTTCTAAGAACCTTAAGGCACGGGAGTTTGTGGTGCCCGCCTTCATCGTTGAATGCAGTCGAACGATCAGACGTATACACCCACAGGCGTAAAAGCCCAATGTTACGAGCGGAGAAGCACCCTTGACACCGACTTTAGTTTTGGCAATTCATACTGACGGAGGTGAGCATGGAAAGACAACAGAAATTCCACTCTAGCGAACCTGAAGGCCGAGGACAAATACAATGCGTCTCAACGACATCAGGCATACTCAGAAACCATCAACGTGTTCTCCTCTTCCCAATGAGTATGCTTGCTGACAACTTTCCTGTACATAGCAAGTTTTGAGTTTGCAGCAAGTGACGACTTCATGTGGTTCTTGAAAATAGTTGGGAATTCTCTGAAGGTCTCGGAGGGGTGTAGCTGCACAAAATGCGGCCACAAACCACTCTGATACACGGAAAGAAGATGTGGTTGCCAGCTAGCAAGATGCTGGAGGTGAATACGCAACCTTGAAACGAGGAGTACGAGAAGATAACAAAAAATAGTAGCATGCATGGCCAAGAGAAAGCTTGTGCAGTTGATGGCTTCAGATTAACGTATGGTGAGATCATGCTCTCCTCTGTGGGAGAATTCATCCTCTTCCTATCATAATTTTATGTTTTGTCATCATCACTAGCCATATAGAAGAAAAGAAGAGAAGAAGAAATTCAGACGTTTGCAAAACTTTGCCAATTTTATTCTTCCGTCGGCGGTCTCAGGATCTTATCTTATCGCACCCAGCTCCCCATCGTTCCGCATCATGGTAGGTATGATTGGCTAGACAGAGGCCACGGTGGAGGCTCGCTGCATTTCGAGTGGGTCAGTGCCTTGCGGGCCGACAGGGTTGCGGGCGGTGTGGACAGCTTCACTGGCCTGCCAGCCTGCCAGCTCGCCCAGCCGAGCTCACTCAGCTTTCCGTCAGTTGCATGCCCCTGCCGTCGCTTGAGGTTTGCCTTCCTTTGGAGGTCGACCCGCGCGCCGCTCCTGCCTTCCATGTCCACTTCCCTGTCTCTTCAGTTGTCTCCACGTTTTTTTGCTCACCGTCGGTCAACATCACTATTTCGCAACCAGTTTTTGGATGCACAGGACTGTACTAGTATTCTATCACAGAAGGGAACCCGAACACTCGTCATCTCCATCGTCACAAACTCATACGCTATTGCAATTGCACTACCTGCAACGCAACCGATATCCAGTATAGTCGTAAACCCTCAGCCAACAGTAACCTTCACATCTGGGAACATACGAAGCAGCCTCGCTCGTCAGCCGTGCATCATCGACCACAATGGGCGACTTCAGCAACTATGGTGGCTCTGATGAGGAGAACGCCGAAATCAAGAGGCTTAACGCCGAGGTGGTAAGTCGATGCAGATAGGCGCTGCTGTGGGCATCATATTCACTCGCTAACCAGAGCCCATCTCAATCGTATCCAGGATGCCGATACCGACAACTTCGAGAACTGGGAGAAACTGGTACGCGCCTGCGAAGGGCTTGAAGGCGGTCTCAACAGGAATTCGAGCCCGCAGGCTCTGGCTACCCTCCGTGCCACATACGATCGATTCCTCCTCAAGTTCCCCTTGCTGTTTGGCTACTGGAAAAAGTATGCGGATCTCGAATTCAACATCTCGGGTCCCGAGTCGGCCGAAATGGTACGAACCCAAGCCGCCCCTCCTCTTGCTGATGGGTCTGGTTCTAATGGGTATGTCTAGGTGTATGAGCGAGGATGCGCTAGCATCACCAATTCGGTCGACCTGTGGACAGAGTATTGCTCCTTTAAGATGGAAACTACTCATACACCCCATCTCGTGAGAGAGTAAGTTTTTAAATCCTTTCCGTCCCCACCCCCCTCAAGACCACCTTACCCGCAGCAAACTGCAAAGCCGTTCGCGGCTCTTTGCCGACTCGAGAGGGACAAGTACGAATTCGTGACCGTACGAACACGGTGAGAGCAACCACAAGGCAGCCATTCTATGCTGGAACAGTTCTCTCACAATTCATACCAGGCTCTGCTCTTCATGGCAGATATTCTTCGTTCGCGTCTTGCCTCATTACCCGTTCCCCGCTCGCGTATGCCACTGAGATACAGTTTGGTCACCTTGGATGGATGCTTCGTTTACACCGAGTTTCCCCTCTTGTACTTCCCTTCCCTTCCCGCCCCTCACTCCCATCCTCAGTCATGTAGCACTTATTGACATTTCTTTAGGCTTTTCGAGCGCGGCGCTACCCATGTCGGCCTAGACTTCCTCGCCCACCCCTTCTGGGACAAGTACCTCGAGTACGAAGAGACACAAGAGGCACAAGATAAGATCGTCGCGATACTGAACCGGGTCATTCGGATTCCGATGCACCAATATGCGCGCTACTTCGAGCGGCTCAGGACCCTCGCTCAGACACGTCCACTTTTGGAGTTAGTTTCTGCCGATGCGTTGGCCCGCTACCGGGCGGAAGTCGAAGCCGAGAATGCCCCCTACGGGATCCAAAAGAGTGAGCCCGAGATCGAGCGTGACATTCGGGCCAAGATCGATGCGCAGCTATACACGGTTTTCCAGCAGACACAGGCCGAGACCACGAAGCGCTGGACCTTTGAATCAGAGATCAAACGACCTTATTTCCACATTACAGAGCTTGAGCATGCGCAGCTGGCCAACTGGCGCAAGTATCTCGATTTTGAGGAATCTGAGGGCAACTTCGGCAGAATTGTCTTCTTATACGAGAGGTGCTTGGTTACCTGTGCTCTTTACGACGAGTTTTGGTTCCGCTACGCTCGGTGGATGTCGGCACAAGAAGGCAAGGAGGAGGAAGTACGCAACATCTACCTCCGCGCAACGACTCTGTATGTCCCGGTTAGTCGGCCGGGAATTCGGCTCCAGTATGCCTACTTCGAGGAGATGTCCGGACGTATCGATGTTGCCCGCGACATCCACGCGGCCATCCTTAACAAGCTACCCGATTGCGTCGAGGCCATTGTCTCGTGGGCCAACCTGCAGCGCCGCCAGAGTGGTCTGGACGCCGCCATTGATATATACAAGGCGCAGATTGACTCCCCGACAGTGGACATCTTTACCAAGGCCGCTTTAGTCACCGAGTGGGCTTATCTTTTGTGGAAGGTCAAGGGATCGAGCGAGGAAGCCCGCGCTTGTTTCTCCAAGAATGTCCAGTGGTATTCGGACAGCCGCCACTTCTGGCAAAAGTGGCTGGAGTTTGAGCTGGGCCAGCCCACCAATGCTGAGCTTGAGGAACAGCATGGTGCGAGGATCAAGGACATCATCCAAATGATACGCAGCAAAAGTCGCCTGTCCCCAGCTGTCAAGCAAGAGTTGTGTCAGGTGTACCTGAACTATCTGCAGGACCGTGGCGGTAAGAAGGCCATGAAAGAATTTCTGGCCCTCGACCGGGAACTGTATGGGTACGTCCCGATTCCCCCCCCCCAAAATTGAGCTTGACACCAGTAGATTTATGCTAACTTTGAATTTTAGACCTCAGTCGATCTCGGTCATTACTAAAGCCAAGCTCGGTGGTAAGGAGAACGGTGTTGCCATGGGCGAACTTGATGAACCCACTCGCCAGAAGGCCGAGGCCAGATTTTACAGCTTTTACCAGCTCCATATGGACCCCGATCCGAACGCTCAAGGACCAGCTAGCTTTAATTAAGCACACGGCGCTACTACTTGATATTATGGCTAGGTCTGCCGCCCACAGCATCTTCGCCGAACTACGGATATCGACAAACTGAACGAAAAGAGTAATCGGCATCCCCCCTTCCTTCCCCGTATGCGTCATGTAGCCTTTGACTTTTTAGACTTGCCCAAAAACCAATGCGAAGCAAAAGAGGCCGATCCAGGTCCCAGCAAGGTTGACTAATTTCCGAATGTTCAGCCTATCGACACGTTCCAGTGAAGGCAAGCTGGCATCTTTTGTCGACATTTTCCAGTCTAGCAAACCGGCATCGTATATTGACCCGTTCCAGTTGGCAATCTGGTATCGTGAAAGAAATAATCGTATGGGATCTCAAGAAGTTTGCGGCCGGTAATAAAACGTGAACAAACAATGGGAGATCAGGACCCCAGGAAAAGAACATAAAAGAACGGGGGAGGTTGTTTGTATTTTTATGGTAATAGCGAACAAAATGGATCTTGCGTTAGATAGAGGACCGTAGTAATCTGATCATCGTAGTGTACATGACAATCGGCGGCCATTTCGTGCACAGAACAACAAAGGCTATATCTGCTCGGCCATGTGTCAAACAGGCATAATACAGGCTAGTGGCAAACGTCTGATGATCCGTGTTTTTGAGGTGCTGTTGTGTAGTGTAAGTAGTGTACACTACCTCTAGTGTAGTCAAGAGGTAGGTTGAGGAACACAAGGCTACCACACTACTATGGTGATATGGGTAAGTTAAACCCATGGGCCAGGTCGTTGACCACACAGTGCTCACGAAGCGTTAGCTGTGGTGGTCTGTGTGAGATACCTGACAGGGAGGTAAAACTTTTGCTCGCAACCGCAGTACAATTATTGCACAACGGACAAGGGAAGCGCTGTCCGAAACTGTGGACGAGGGGCTGCGAAGGTTCCGTAATCGGCAGGGGAGTCCACAGGAACTCGCCGCCACCCGCCACTCCGTGCCTGTGAGTTCACGGTTCGAGCCTCCAGTGACACTGCAATTCCATGGGCAAACGGGTACGTATCGACGCAACAACAGCAGCAAAAAGTAAAAACAAATCGCGGAGGATCAGCGATGGGCAAAGTATCTGTAGCGTATAAGACATACATGGAGTCTCATTCAAAGACGAACCATCTTGTACAAGTTATCATCGCTTGACGTTGAATTTAGACGGCGTCGGATATGACTACACTACAAAAGGACCTGCCTGCTTCACAAGGGGTTAGGTAAAATCGCTTTTGCAGGCTCACAAACAAAGATCTTGCGAACCTGCGCAAGCCACTGGTGACTGGACGATGTACACTAGGAGACTAGTAACCTCCACGCTCCACCGCGCGTTCGGCATTCTCAGACATGAGGACCCTCGCCGCATGCCCCTGCTTCAGGTTCACTTTCTGCACTAGTTAAGCATCTGGGTTCGGGAATGCTCGGACAATGTGCGGTGATTCAGACGATCTGGAGAATTGGAGATTTGACAACACCAAATTGGTTTGCCACGTGTATCCGTGCGAGCCGTTGTCAAAACATGGACCCGAGAATCGCTACCCAAACATCTCAGCTCCGCGCTATCATAATACTGGTAACCCTGTAATTAGCGATCAGGGCGGTTTCTGGTGGATTGATCGTTATGGCCAGGATATCGCTAATATAAGGTTGGGGTATTTTAAACCCACAATTCTACTAACAGGGGGGTTGAAAAGGCTGGAGAACAACGTACTTATATTAAATAACTATTTACTATAGTAATTTCACTATAGAGCTGTTTGTAAAGTACGAATCGATAGTTGACTGCCATTTCTCGTCCCGGGCGCTCAACTAATCCCAGACCAACAGTTTCTAGCGCCTTCTAAGCATCGCCAAATAAACTATATCCACTTATTCTTATTATTCTTCATATTGGATAATAATCGTAATAGCTTTTAATACCTTTACAATAGAGATTTCTACTATTTCAGCATCCTTATTATCATCGCTATTATCTAATTCTTAAATTTCTAAGAAGGTCTTAATAATATATTAGAGGATATTTTAGGGGTCTTCTCGAACTTACTCCTTTGGAGGGTTAATAAAATTAACGATATTTATTATATTTTTAACCCGCCCAACTCTAGCGAACTCCTCTATCAACTTCTAAATATAAATAGCTTTATCCTAGTTAAGGGGTCGTCGTTCTAAACTATATACTAGTCCTAATAATTATAATTTCTTAAAATAATTATTAATAGTCTTTTCCTTAACCTTATATTTCTACGTATCGATAATTTAATAAATTATTTATAGTACCGTAGTCTTTTTAATAGTATTTTCCCTATCGAAGGTATAGTACACTAAGTATTATAACTAAGCGTAGTAGTAATAAACCTTCAAATTATTAATAATATTTTAATTTATAAGCTAGTAAATAAAAGTAATATTAGCTAATAGTATTTTAACGGTAGTATTAGTTAAAGGTTGGTTACTATATTATTTTTTTAATTGTTTTAAAGCAAAGTAATGAGTAAAGATTCTATTAATTAGTAATAATACCCAACGGCTAGCTATTTAACAATCGAACTATTATAGAAACTTATCACGGGCAAAGGGTAGGTGGTAGATGTGATTATGCGTAATTGCACGAAGGAGAAAGGAAGAGAAGTGCAGCCGAGTACCCAGAAGGCTGGCCTTATGAAGGCAACCGCCGGCGGGTTTAATAAACCCGCGGCGGGCAGCGTTCTAACCAATTAATTGCCGGTAATAGTCGGCTTGCCGGTAGTAATAATAGCGTACAACAATCTTAGAAGCTACTATATACTAGTACTAGGTATAAGGCACATAGGCTAACCCTATAACACTTCCCTGGACTAAAAGAAGCTATATAATTAACTAATATTATATAAAATAATAGAAATCCCTATTAAACGAACGGTCCGCTCTTGAAAAATCTTTATTACTATTAGTAATTGTCGTTATAACTTCCGCCGTGGAATTGGAGCCTCCTGTTCTACCTCCTTCTCTTTCTCCTTCCGCTTTTTCTCTACTGCCGCCTAAATTAGTAAGTATAGCGCTTCCGGGTATCCGTTGTAGAAGGCCTGTACTATATTGGGGGCTATAGATATATTAGTGCGCGGTTGTTATAATAGTATATACGGGGGTATTTAAATTATAAAGTATTCCTAACGGCCCTTATTATTTTTTTAGTATTTATTTATCCTTTTAAATTTATATTTAATAAAATCCTCCTTATTATTAGTCCTCCTTATAGTTCGGTTATAATTAGTACGAATATTCTATTCTTTTAAATTTATTTATTTTAAGAGACCCTCTTTATCCTATAATTTAATTTTATTAATATAGAACGTCGGGCTATACTTTATATTAATTAGAAATTTAAGTATTACCCGATAGTTATTTATTTTAAGGATTTCGAAAGGGCCCTCGAAGAGAGGCGTAAATTTAGCGTAGGGGCGGCTAATATTGAGGTTTTTAGTATTAAGAAGGACCTTATTTCCTACCTTATATTTTAGAGCGTCCGATTATTGAATATTTGTATTATTTTCGTAACACTATTATATTTAATAGGTTTAATTAGTAATAAAGTTTAAAATTCTTTTAAAATAGTCGGCTAATTTATTAACTTTAAAGTACTTTATTTATTATATTACTAATATTTCCGGTGGGTATAATTTTATTAGTTTAATACCTATACGGGGGTAAAATTTATAGTTAGTAAAGAAGGGGGAGATACTAGTAATTTTAAATATTAGATTATTATTAATAAATTCTATAATTAGTAGTTAATTTACCTAATTATTTTAAGTTTAATTAATATAAAGATGTAAATATTTTTCTATTTTTATATTAATACGTTTAATTTAATTATTAGTAGCGGGGTAGAAAGTGGAGGAGGGTTTAAAGGTAATTTCCAATTGTAATAATAAAGTTCTCTAGAATTACGAAATAAATTAGGTATTACGGTTGGAGATAATAGAGTCCGGTAGATTGTAAATACTATAAACCTTTTTAATAAAACGCTCTATTAATTCTTCTACTATTAGGCCGACGGTAAGGATATAGTACTTTATTTTAATTAGGCAGTTAATAATAACTATAATATACTTGAATTCTTGCCCGTAGTATAGGTATGGAGTTAATAGAATAATATAATTAATAGAAATATCCTTTTATAGTATGAATAGTATTATTAATAGTTTTAAAAAACCGTGGGGGGTATATTGTAATAGTTTGGACTTAGCGTATGCCAGATACGCCTTATAGTATAATTTAACAGTAGTATATATTTTTAATTAAAAGAAGGATTATAATAGTAATAAATAAATTTTTTTATAGCCCGGGTATCCGGCTAATAGTAAATTGTAAATATAGCGGAGGAGTAAAAAGTAAAGTTTTATATTAGTAGGGTTGATGAAGATAGTACTACGAAAGTACGTTTATTTTTAGATTGTTCGGTATTTGGCGAATAGGACCTTTTTTATATAATTTTTAACTTTTTTAAATTATATTCGGTAATTAGAGTTGGATAAATAAATAATAATATTTTGTAGAATAGTCGACTTTTTATAACCTTTTATTATTAAATTATCTATCGACCTTTCGTCTTGAATTTTTAATTTATAAATATATTTAATATTAACGGAGATTTTTTTACTTCTATTCTTTAAAATAAAAGCTCTATTAATAAAAATATTATAATTAAGTAAAACCTTATTCCTAATTAATAATTATTTATTAATTTTATTTTTAGGTAAATCCTCCGGCTTCCTATTTAGTATATTGGGACGTACTTATAGTAATCCGGGGCGATATTTAATAATGAAATTAAAATAAGAGAGAAAATAAAATTAATATATATAATAGGGAATAAATTATTTATTAATTATAAAAGTCTTTAAACTCTTATAGTCGGTTAGAATTTCGAAAAGTTCTTAGGCTCCTTCTAATTCGGGGCGCCACTCTTTAAGGGCTTTAATAATAATTAGTAACTCCTTATTAT